GACTCCGATATCTACAACTTCGACGAGACAGGCTTTCAGATGGGCGTTATCGCGACCGGGATGGTCGTTACAAACGCGCAAATACGGTCGAACGTTAAGATGAAGCAACCAGGTAATCGGGAATGGGTTACGGTAATCCAGGGCGTTAGCGCGACTGGATTCTACGTCCCGCCGTTCGTAGTATTTGCCGGCAAATATCACCTCTCGACCTGGTACCAAGATAACGCGATTCCTCGCGACTGGAGAATCGTAACATCCGCAAACGGCTGGACTACAAACGAAATTGGTCTAGATTGGATTCGACATTTCGATCAGCATACAAAGTCGCGAACAAAAGGCGGTTATCGCCTCCTCATCCTCGACGGCCACGAAAGTCACCACTCGGTCGAATTCGAGCTCTACTGTAAGGACAACAACATTATTACGCTCTGTATACCTCCTCACTCGTCTCATATACTCCAGCCTCTCGATATTGGCTGTTTTGGTCCGCTGAAGAAAGCATACGGTCGGCAAATTGAGCTTAAGATGAAGGCGGGTACAACGCATATCAGCAAGGAGGACTTCCTCCCCTCGTTTTTAGCGGCATTCCAGCAGACAATGACGGAAAAAAACATCCAGGGAGGCTTCAGAGGGGCGGGACTTGTACCCTATGACCCTGAAGCCGTTTTATCCAAGCTCGATGTGAAGTTCAAGACGCCAACACCCTCGAGGACGCCTCGGACGTCACCGGAGCCATGGACTTCCCGAACGCCCACCACCGCTATGGAAGCCCGTTCACAGTCTAATTTCATCAAACGTCGGATCTCTCGTCACCAGGGAAGCTCTCCAACGTCAATTATTGAAGCAGTTGAGCAGTTCACGAAGGGAGCAAAGGGGATCATGCACCGGTTCGCCCTAATGGAGGCAAGGATGAAGACGCTTGAAGACGAGAATGCAGTACTTAGTAAGCGCCGGAGAGCTAAGAAAACACGTCTCCGGAAAGGCCAGAGCATGACTCTAGGCGAGGGACAGGACCTTATAGCCCAGAGAGAGGTGAACACTCAAATAACACAGGAAACGCAAGAAAATCGAGGTCATGCAGGCGGCACTACGCCAACGCAGCGCCGCTGTGGTACCTGCGGGATGACTGGCCATAATGCGAGAACTTGCCAAATAGTTACTCTAGGGTCTGAACTCGAAGATAGCGATTAGTTTATATCAATTCAAGACGTTTTGGTTTTGCTGACGAGGTTTTGATTCTCGAGATGTGGTGGGGGTGGCCCACTCGCTATGCTGGCCCACTCGCTATGCATTTACGTTATTTAGAGGCAATTGCTACACCGGCGTGAACGAATGGCTACACCGGCGTCACTCTTACACAGGCGTCGCTTTTACGGCCTTTGATTGGTCCATCCCTTTTTGTTAGTGCATTTAGATTCTGCCAACAGCGCCCGTTGTACCTCGGGCTTACCTCTCCACCGCAACGATCGACGCGCCTTATGGAAGCTCTTCACCAGCTAGCTACTACACTAATTACCTCTTTGCCGCATGTCGAGCCTACTTAGAATTATTTTCGCGAAAGATGCGGTATTTGTTAAGGTCACAGGGCTGGAGTGAGGTGTGTTGGACCCCTGCTGAGACCAAAACTCGAACACAGGCTGTATCAGATCGCGCCAACAGCCTCATCTAGAATCGGCATCGCAAAGCAGGTCTTTACTTTCTGCCCGAAATGAGACCCTTCTTTCCTTCTTTCATAGTCGAATCAAGTACTCTTTTACTCATCTTCTCACCGTGCGTGCGACACTCCCTATCGCGATCGAGGCCGTCATGTCCCAGCCCGAGTCTCCATCTAGCTCCCTAAGCAACCAACGACGACGAAGCTATCAATTCCGGCCTCGAAAACGACAGCGGCAGGACCAATCTGATAGTTCAAGACCACCTTCCTCTAATAGCACAGGCACGAGCATTGGCCGACACTACGGCGTCGGCGACGATGAAGCACTCTATAATCTTTTCGCCTCATATCCAGAGACGTTGACGACCGCGCCACGGCCCCGTGGATCGCGCGGGCTGAACGAGCCACCATGGGGGCTACGATTCGATCAAGAGATTCACCTTTCGAACGATTTCCCATCCCAAGGAAGAAGGTCCCAACGAGTTAGAATCCCTATACCAGGCCCAGAAACGGACCAACTACCTCGCTCCTCTCCACCGCAATCAGTACAAGAGCATCCCTCTCCCACCAAGGCCGAGTTTCATTCTGTTCTCAAGCTAGTACGCGAGGTGATTGGGACACACCGGAGACTAACCCTCGAGCTCGTCCGGTCATACGAACAAGTCCGCCAATGGCGTGAGAGATGGGGTTACTCGCCGCTTAGTTCAGATGCACTCGAATCACCTCCGCCCTACTCGCCTCCCCGAGACAGGCACTCTCCGACTATAGCTTCACCGCCCTTGCCCGACCTCTCGTCATCGCCTGTCCCTGACGGGATCCCGAACCCAGCTATCCCAGGCGACCCAGCGCCGTCAGCCGAAGTCCTGTTCGAGTGGGTGAATACTTTCGCGAAGGCTAATGGCTTCGGTATTGTTCGACGAAATGCACATTCATATAAGGGTCGGAGGATCCGGTACACTTTTCAATGCGATCGATTCGGAGAACCAGCCCCTAGTCAAGGCGCAGGACTTCGACGACGGAAGTCTCGAAAGTGTGGATGTAAATGGATGGTTGTTGCCGAGGCGTTAGAAGAGGGGAAGTGGCTCTTACGACAACACTCGAAGCCCGAACACAGCCAGCATAACCACGGCCGCAGCATCGGGCCATCTGCTCATCCCTCCCATCGGAGACTCACCGAGCCTATCAGGACAACGGTCGAATCGACAAGCAGTCGGGTCGGAATTCGGGCCCGTGACGTACGTGCTATCGTCCAGGAGCAGCATCCCGAATCATCCTTTACACGGAAAGACATCTATAACGCCAGATCTCGTATCAACCGAGACAAGCTGGATGGCCATACTCCTACTGCAGCACTGATCAAGCTGCTTGACGAGATGAAGGTTCCCTATCTCGTTAAGTGGGGAGACGATGAGCCAAACCGTCTTGTTGGCCTTGTCTGGACATTTCCTTACTGCCTCCAGATGTGGAAGCGGTTCCCCGAGGTGATCAGCTTCGACAACACATATAACACGAACCGCTTCAAACTTCCCTTATTCCAAGCAACGGGACAGACATGCCTTGGCTCTGTCTATAACGCTGCCTTCGGTCTGATAGATAACGAGAGGAGAGAAGGGTTCCAATTCCTCTCCGAGAGCATTCGACAGCTAGCAGAGCAGCACTCCATCCGGCGACCGGATGTGATCGTCACCGATTTCGACGACCAGATGAAAGCCGCATTGAACGACCAGTTCCCCGATGTACAGCAGCAGCTGTGCATCCACCACATCAATTCGAACATCCTGCTTAAGTCAAAGCAGAGGTGGGTTAACGCCCGCAGCAGCAGCAGAAGTAGCCCTGGTACCAGCGACGGAGAGGCAACTACCCCGCAGCCACAAGCTCAACTAACCCCTCAAGACCGAGAGTTGGTTCACACGCCAACAACCGAGGCTATCCCTCATAACTATGAGGAGTTCTCATCATGTGGAAGCTCGTCTTATTTGCTGAGACGGAGGAGGCCCACGAGGAGGCATGGGCAAACCTCTGTAAGGAGTTTGATGACCAGCGAGCTATCCTGCGGTATCTCCATGGAACCTACATGCCCGTCAGGGCCCAATGGGCCCGCTGTTTCATCCGGAAGTATCGCAATTTCGGCGTCCGTGTCACCTCTGGTACAGAAGCAAGCAACAACAACATCAAGAGCTATCTTCTGAATGGTATGAGCAATCTTTATCGCCTTTTTGAGGCTATGCAGGACATGATGAAGGACCAAGAGCGGGATTTCAACGATGCCTGCGCAGCGGATGAGGTACTTACCGCACGAGAGTATATGGGGTCCAGCTCGGAGTATCTTGGCGAACTCCGAATAGCGCTCTCTTCGAAGGGTCTCGGACTGATCACGAAACAATATCGGCTGGCAAGGAAAGCAATGCCGACAGGAAAGAATCCGTTTCCTGACCCTCTCGGGGATTGCGGCGAGGAATGCTCGGTTTCGACCGAACTTGGAATCCCCTGCTGTCACACAATCTACTCAAAGCTGGGAAGTGGCACGCCTTTCACCAAATGGGAGGTCCATCCTCGGTGGCGCCTACGAGAGCCATCCTCTCGAGATCCATACCGACGAATCCTCGACCCTAAGATCGCCACTGCTCTCCGGGGCAGACCTAAGAACACCACGCAGGTTGTTCCAGCGCGGCTAGCCATCGGGGCAAGCAGCCAGCCCAGTAGCCAGCCAGCCAACAAACCAGCAAGCAAGTCACCACGGCGCAGACGTGGTCGACCACCGGGAAGTCTCAACAAGTCAACGCTAGCTAGGCCTCCACTGGAAGTGAGCCAACAGACCAGCAGCCAGGCTAGTAACCAGGCCAGTACCCCATCCCAGCGCCAAACGCGCAGCCGGTCAGTTGTTCTTGGAGCTGGAAGAACTACAGGAGTACGTGCCAGCGGGCGGCAGACGCAGCCTAGCATTCGTAGGCGAAGGAGTCAGTGGGAGCTGCTTGACAGCGACGAGGAGGTACTTCCCTCGATAGTAGTGAGAGGATAGCGATATGGAGAGCTGGCATCTAGAGCATACTTGAATTGGTCTTGTTCTGCAGATCTTGTTATGAGCTCGATTTAGACCTGGGTTGACCCTATTGGTTCTTTACCGAAGCTGAGGGACTTGTTAAGGGAGCTGGCTTCACCGCCTTTGCGCCGATGTACCTGTGGGTCGAAGGAAAAAAGAGCGAATCAGAGGCCATGGAAGTGACGCCTGTGTAAGAGTGACGCCGGTGTAGCCATTCGTTCACGCCGGTGTAGCAATTGCCTATTTAGAATATAAAACCCCAGCGCCCGATTAGACGGTTGACCCCGGAGATCAGGTCGTGACAACTTAGTAGATGCCTTTAGTATCGAAAGCGCGTCGTTCTCCATCCTGGTCCTATAGTATTATACAAGAACACGTCGCATCATCATCCTTATGGGCTTCCTTGACCGTAGCCTCAGTCTTATTAATCTCTGTAGCCGTTCCAATCCAGAATTCTGAGTCGGGTAAGTTGGCAACCTTTGCTCGTCCCTCTTCAATCATCCTCTTCTCAGCCTCGGCTCTGTTATATCTCTGATGCGAATGATGGATCTCTGCTGTGGTGTGCTCTAGTTCCTTTACGAGCTCGATCTTCCGCTCGCCGGCTATGGTCCGTTGCGAGACACTTGCTTCGCCGATACGCTCTTCGCCGTGAGCATTAATGGCAGCAGCTTGGAGCATATGAAGGGCCCGGAGCAATTTACACTGGTGCTTGTTAAGCCGGTCAATCGCCCATTCCTCGACTTTCATGATCTGGTCTTCGGCCTCTTCGGCCTGACGCACGTATTGCAGACCCGTTTCTTTGGCCGGCAAAAGGGCGAGCGGGCCCCGTAGCATCGCCCTTTGGACCGGCGAGGCCAAGTTGACAGATACGATTAAGCGCAATATAGCGCCAATAGCGCCGAAGAACCAAAAATGAGGGAGGCAAGCTGTTCTTGAGCTTGACCTCTCGTCAGCTCTATCTCGAGGAAGAGGTCTTTCCCCTGGACGAGGACCCGCTGGACTTCATTGTTCGCTTCACGGAGAGAATGAATCTCTTGTTCTGTTGAATTCATAGCTGTTAGCACAATAAACTGGACATGCATTCGAGTGCGCCAACTTGGAGAGTGACTAGCCTGCGTCCTGGAGTCCTAGAGAGTCAAACATAGCCTGGCGACATTTCATGGACGGGGTGAAGCAGTTTGTAGCGGCTGCTTTCTTTGCTGCTTGGAGGATATTAGCAGCAAGGGCTATCCACTCTGGGTCATTGTCCCCAGAGAATTTGCAGATTCCCCTGTGATCACAATTTGCAGTCCGAACGGTTTCTCTGCTTGGTGGCAAACCCAAGACAGCAGAGTCCTCGGGAACAATCTGCACACAGCCAACGGTTAGAAACCAGACAGTGTAGCATCTGGCGTCAGGGGCTAAGAAAGAAACGTACGACACCTAGCCCTGGACCAAACGGCAGACTCTCAACCCAAGTGTAGAACTTAAATGCTTCGTAAAGCGGTTGAAAGCTAGCGTTGAGCTCCTCCCAGCTGCGTGATGTTCTACTCAAGGTTTCTAGGAGGGCGCTACTAGGCTGACGAGTGGCCGTGCTGAAAATGTCAGCGAGAATTTGTCCCCATGAAGCGTGGCAGGAGCCCTTGTGTGGCACAGCAAGGAAAAATATGGCGTATGTAAAGGTCCAGATCATGGGATACGCGTTGTACCCTCGCCACGCAGTAGCCAAGGCTTCCTTTACAATGATGCCGCCCATGCTGTGGGCAATGAAGATGAGGGGACGCGCTGGGTTGTCCTATAAAAGACCGCGAGTTAGTTGGGAACAACTTGAACGAGCAGCCGCTCTATGGGTCTTGAGATGGTTGGGCTGCAAACCTTTCGAGCCATGCTAAGGCAGCCGAGGAGATTAACAGCCTGCTGTTGGACACCAGCCGTTGACGTGCCAAACACCACATTCGCATTGTACTGAAAAGCTAGAACCCTTGCACGAGGAAGTAGTGTGGGCAGCAAGGTCCGAAGCCAATTCACTCCGGTTTCGGCGTGGGTCCACGTATTTTCTGCATGGGTTTCGTTTCCCCAAACATTGATACCATGCACTGCAATGATACTGAGATATATCATGGAGGTTAGCTCAGGAGCGCCCTGAACAACATGGCAACGCGGACGTACTCGACCGTCGCATCGGTGGGGCTCGTAATGGGAACGAGGGTGTTGGAGTCGGACGGATTGGGGGCGTGGGCCGCCTAGACGAAGAAGAGCAGGAGTGTAAGTTGGGTGCGTGCGTCAAAGAAACGAATGTATAAACACTTACCATGATATAACAATTGCGCTGAGAACCTCAGAACGGTAGTAAACCAGGTGTTATCCTCAGTTGTCGAGGTTGGAGTTTACTTTGACCCGACCAAGCTGTTGCTTAATCCTACTACACTTTGATGCCCAACCGCCTAAGCTCTGGTACCCAATCTCCTTGGCGCGTACAACATGCGGGGTCGAATCGACACAATTCGCTAGGAGGGAGGATATGTTGTGTTACACGAGAAGGAGCGGGAGTTGGAGGCAGTTATACATATTATAAGTCAGGCGCATCAGGGCCCTGGAGGGTCGCGGGGCTGTCGGACCTAGTGTGACGACCCGACTAACAGGTCGCAAGATCGGGCCAAGGACAAGGGCAGGTCATGCACGCGGGGCGGGCGCTCCCCTGGTTATGTAAGCATCTCATTATGTCAGCAGGATGGATATGTTGGATCACAACACATCCACACATATCCAGGGACACAGGCACATCTCTATGGAAATCCGATGAAGGGCAAAGGATATATAGGGACAGGAGGATCTCCTAGATACACAGTCACTACCTTTGTACTTCAGCGATTAATCTAAGTATCAGTTTCACTCACACTTGAACTAGTCACTCAATTGCCGAGACTGGTATCTCTTCCAAGAGACACGAACGACAACCCAGAGAGAGAACGACAGCAGAGTGTTAGTTGTGATTGCACAGGCTTTACCTATCTTGCAGAACAGCAACCCCAGCGCCCTGCCAGACGGTTGACCCCGGAGGCAGGATCGTGACACCGGGGGGGGGGGGGGGGGCGGTTCCCTGGGGGTTAGCGTCTCTGCCTACTACAAGTTTATGTCCAAGTGCCGATCCTACTATAGCGCACTTAGGGTGCAGAATGAGTGCAATAGCCCAAGCGCTCGCCCCCTGTTATATAGCAGAGAGACGCCAACTGGACACAAACTGCTTGTGAATGATGGTTAGGACATTGTATGTTGGATGAGCTGAAGGTATGTGAAAACGGGGTCGGGATCCTTGTGGCCTTCCGGCGTCGTTGGTGAGTTGGTCGGTACGTGGTTCCGCATCGCATCGTAATACTACAGGCTGTTCTACTGCTATTAGTATTGTGGATTGTCGGTGGATCGTGGGTTACTGGGAAAAGAAGGGAAATCTGGGGTAACGAACTAAGACTAAATCCGCGGAAAAAGGGGTTGGAATAACGCGTACCTCTAATGCGCACAGACGTTTCGTAGGACATGACATGTCTATGAAGAGAATGAGAGAGACTTCACGATATGCAGGGATGCTGTCGGACATGTGGGGCGTGTGGAACCCGGGGATGTAGACTAAATCACCCGTGGAATAATACAGTAGGCAAGTTCCCCTGGGAATGATGGTCAGGCTGAGACCTCCACCCTGCAGTAGATATTGGTGGTAGCCCGTGTTGGGCGGAGATAGTGGGGTTGCGCTGTGCAGAGGCCCGGCCACGCGCCACCGCACGCCAGCCAATTGGTGTGGTCAGAGCTGCCGTTGCCACTGTTGGCATGGCAACCATTTCAACCACTTAAACTTCCGCAGCTGCCCTCACACACGCGTCGATAACTCCACCACAATCGCAACCACAAACCCTCATTATTCGTCATGCCGACACATCCAATCGAAGCCTGGATATCCGAGATCCAGCCATCTTTTGCAATACCCTGCGCCGCGAGAAGAGGAACAACCACACGAACAAGACCGAGACAGAGTCGCGACAGCCAGCACTCCTGCGACGACCGTACCAACAGCGACGCCCGAAACGCCAAGCGACGCAAGAGCAACGGAACACTGCGAGTGGACAGAAAGGTCGATGTGAAGAGCATATTTCCGAGTCCGACCTCTTCAATGGCAGGGGACGAAGCAAGGACCCCGCGCAAGAGATCTGCAGTCGAAGCACTTGGCAGTGGCGAGGAGGAGGAGGAGCCAACACCTCGTGGCAAAGTACCATCTGCAGCTCCAGCTCCAGCTTCGGCACAGCTACCCCCATCGTTATGGGCGGCGGCCCTCAGTCTGCAGCAACCGCGATACTCCGCTGCCGGGGATGGGGCTGCCACACCGAGCTCCTCGTCGGCATCAAGACAAAGCAAGGCATCAAGACAAAGCAACAGGTCAAAGAGTCCTACTAAGAGCACGGCCGACCTGCGCTCCGCCAACATCGAGGTGCGCGGCTTCTACGAGCACAGAGCGCCACGCCACGCCTGCGTCGACGCACTGTTGGCAGATCTCAAGCAGGTCGCGGATGGCGTCGAGGTCGTTCCCGCCATTGTCGTAGATGCTGCAGCCAGAGAGGGGGGCGACCCCATGAACTGCTTCAGCCAGCACCAGGTGAACAGAAACACGTACTGTCTTGCAGACGAGCTCGCGATGGACGAGTTCCGTCAGCTGCAGCGGATACTAGCCTACGCGGCCAGCTGCAAGCGAGAGTGCCAGTCCGAGGCCGCATGGAACACGCTGGTGCACAGCCCGCTCCTGCACCATGCCGTCGAGACATCCCAGTGTCCCCAAGTCACGCCTTTCATCGCAACAACCGCCGGCATCATCCCAGCCCTACTTCCCCGCAATATCTACACCGGAAACACCGTAAGCGGCCGGCTAGTCGACTTTTGTATCGCCATCGATGTCAACCGCTGCGCCGTCACCGATTTGCTCGCGACGCAAAGCGAGGCCCTCTGCTCACTCAATCAGACCATGTATACGCCATTACGCGAGCGGCCGATTGCCATCGCCGCCGAGACCAAGATTGACACGGCACCGGAAACGGGCGAGAACCAGCTGGCAATCTGGACCAAGGCCTGGTTGAACCGGCTGCGCATCTTTGGCAATGCGGATCTGACCCACGTGCCGCCACTGCCGCTGTTACGCATCAAGGGTCACGAATGGTATCTGCTGCTAGCTTGGGAAGAGGCGCCATCGCCGCGGACCAACGACAACGAAGGAAACGAATCTGCACAGCTCGGGGCACACAAGGAACCCAAGCTGGTTCTCCTGGGAGACCTGCTCATCGGGAGCACCCGCTCGGTCCTGGCCGTCTACCAACTAGTCAACGCGCTAAGGCATCTCGCGCGCTGGGCAGATGGGCCGTTTCGAGAGTGGTATCAGCATAGTGTGCTTAGTCGAAACTGCCAAGCACCTGGTTGATTGATTGTGTCGAGCATGTGAATGATTCAAACAGATATTCAAAATGGCCAGAGGTTAGAGCAGGCAGGACAAACTCTACATGCAAATGCAAAGGCCTCTAGCATATACGCTAGCACGACAAAAAGACCTCCGCCCGGTTCTGGACCGATTCAGCAACCGTCAGGAGATGCCGGGCCATCTCTTGGGCATGTGGGTAGAGGCGTCTATACGTATCCCAGTCCTCATAGTGCGCCGTTGGGAAATTCCGACTCGTCCAGCAGATGAATTGCGATTGGAAGTATCTTCAGCCAGTGTCACTGCCAGTTGCATGAGTCAGTGCATGAAGAACACGCCCGGGTCTCCCACAGCGGTAAAACATGAATGAAGCAAATACTGCACGTCCCTCTCAGCGGCGCCGCTTGAGCAGTTACCGCCTCCGCCCCCAGATTGCAGTCACTCGTTCTTTCGGACGTCGCTCTCATTGTGTTGGTTAGCCTCGGTAACTGCGCTCCCGCCCTGGCCGTCTCTCCGAGGCTCAAGAAGTGATACTGGAATGTGATTGCGATCGAAGAACGCCATGAAAAAGAGTAGAGCAGCGGCGGACTTAATTCCCTGTAGCTGCGCTCGAGGTCCTCGATGATGGGCTTCCAACGGGCTTTGATGAAGTCCGAGGCACTGCAGTCTCGTCGTGATTCACCACTTCCCATTGGAGAAGAGCTCCCTTCAACACCTCATTCTGTTTCAGTTCGTGTAGATCGGTATTGACTGATGTCGATGGGCTGCGTCGCCGTATGTACGCTGCCGCCTGCGTGATTGCTAGCGGATTATGCTCCAGCGTTTGCACCAATTCCACGTAATCCTGCTTGCTGATGGTCGCCGAGTTTCTTCTGAAGCAGCTTACAGCCGCATCTTACAGCCGCATCTGTGCTCATTGCTCTCACCGGCACAATGTCGCTGGAATCAACGGCGAGAGCCAGTGCAGTGTCCTTGTCTCTTGTGGTTACCACGATTGAACGGTGGGAGACATTCGAGAGGTGTAAGAGGCGTCTCAGCGCTTTTGGCGCCTGGGGTGGGGGTTTCGGCCGCGCCACAACTGAGAACGTCGATTTCAGTCACACCATCTAGAACTAGTAACCAGGGGCCATTCGGCGGATCGCATAGCCATTTTGCGATAAGTCGGGGAAGTTCCGCCTCTGTTGTCATAGCATCTCCTATTTCAAGTAGATCGGCATAAGAATTGAGGTCTCTCAGGAAACGCGCACGCGTCTCCGCGCCTATCCAGAGCACCAACGGCCGTCTTAATACTTCATCCGCTTGGCAACAGTACTCGATCGCGAGTTGCGACTTTCCCACGCCGGTAGGGCCCACGAACGCAGCACGAACTGCAGCACGGGAGCCAGGCTTGAACCTGGCGCGTTTCAGTACTGAAACTACTGCTGATTCTCCTCCTTGCAGCGGGGCGAAGTCGGAGTCGGGTTTGAAGGGAGGTAACGGACGGTCGGCAGGGAGCTCGTTGGTAGGGGTGTTGGATCACATCAACCTCAAACCCCGATCTACGCCAGAAAGGAAAGCCAATAGTGATGCGTATCAGTTATTCGAGTGTTGGTCGTTATTATCACACAGACCACTTCGCCATCTGGTTGCTTGTGTAGGCTCGAAAGTAGCTCCACAAGAGGCCTTTTTGAATACAAGTAACTGTGGGTTTACTAGCTTTGTACTTCGTCAGGTACTGCACCGTACTGTAGCTTCGGCTTACGTCACCTATGCTGAATGAACCCCTAGAGTGCTGATCAGCAGTGAGGGGAACATTTTGCGTTCGTGGCCTTCGGAAAATAATGCTTGTCCAACCTCATGAAGACAAACAACCAGATTGGCTATCACAAACGACGGAATGCTCCACTAACGTTACTGTACTGTATACCGTAGCATAAACGAACGTGCAGCCCCGGGTCGCTATGGTACTCGACATTGGAGCCGGTTCACACCAATGTCGCGCGCAGTGCCCCCGAGGACAAGTGGACCTTTCTCGGCGATAAGTTGGAAGAGCGCGCGACTTTTCATGGTTGCGAAACCGCCGGTAAACAATGCCTATCCTCATGTAAGTGCAGAAGCCAAGTCAGTCCCGCTCAGGCCCATGATCAGTCCACTGCTTTGAGGGAAAAGAATGACGACCGCAAGAAGCCACCACTCTGGGCACAAAGCTAACAATACGAGCCTTCTGTGCCAGCTGTCAGACCAAGGTCCATCATCAGCTGGCCCGTGGTCCTCCCCTTGTCCGTCTACTGCCTGGGCGTCAGCCTGGTCTACGCAGCACGGGAGAAGTACAGACGAGCAGCCAGGTCCAGATCTGACCCCGACCCCGACGACGAGGACAACAAGGACAACAACAGGAAGCCCAAATACAGAGAGGGACTGGAGACTGAAGGCCGCAGGAACTAGCGCCGTGCTCTCCTCCAACAATAGAAACGGAGGCACGATCTGTCACGCCTCTCCAGACGTGCAGTTTTCTCATGATACAGTTCAGGCTCATGCCCAGCATGGAAGTCGCTTGCGGAATCCGTCCCCTTCTTATCCTTCTGTGGTTCCAACAGCTCCATCGGCAACCATGACCTTCCCAGTACTATGGTCAGGCACCTCGCGCACCGCCTCGCCGCCCTGGCTGGATTGTCTCAAGCACAGAATAAAGACCGCCATTGCGAAGTGGAAGAAGGGCGAAATGTATCCCCTCAACTGCCAGGTCAAAGGGCACGTGCTGGCGCTGTTGGCTGTTCTTGCGTTTGCCGCCTTAGTGCTGTGATAGAATGGCCTGACGCCTTTCAGGTAGTTGGTCAAGGTATATAGCACAAGAGCTGTCGTTCTAGCAAATCATAAAAGTTACACGAGGATTTCGGGCAATCACCCCAGATGTGACTATTGAATGCATATCCGCTACATGCAAGATTTTCGCCTCACCAAATCATATCCCATTCTCTCTCCATGTAGCTTACTCTCCATAAACATGAAGAGGCGCCGTCATTCAGACTCTCGCGCAGAAGACCCGTGGACGACTGTATGATGGTATATTGCATTGACTTTCGACAGTAAAAGAGCCCCGGCTTAGCACCGCCGAAAGTGTCTTCGAAAATAGTTCGCACCAAGTCATCCCAGAGAGCACGTGTCTGCATGTGCTGCGCCCCTATTCTCAGTGCCAACGCTCTAATGGTGTGTAGGAGAGCTTCTCCCCTTTACGACATAAATCTGTATTCAAACTTGAGCTTGCCCTTCCAAGCATCAAGTGACTAGGCTCCATCTCATGCCACACCTGCCTCTCCATTCAGCCCGTAGGCGTGCCAGGATGTTAGCTTCCACGGCCTTCATCTCGTTGATGCGTAGCCAGCCCTCCTGTGGGTGATGTATCTAGCATCATATTCGTCGCCCTCGCTGGCCTTGTCCTGCCCCATAGTAGATGAAATGTGGCGTTTGGTGCGCACTCTCAATCGACCACCATTGCGTCCTCGTGGCATCCATTACACCGCCATCGGCGACTGCTTACAGGCATTTTCGCCTCCGAGCGGATACAGTCGTCGTGGTAAAAGGGTCGATCGCAATCCTGCGATATCAGTCAGCCAAGCCGCACACCACACCTCAAGATAGAAACGTACCTCATTATCACATATCAGCGTCGAAGGACCACGGACTGGCTGACCACACACGCCACAACCTGACGCAGACCTCCTGCCTTCAACCCTTGGTGACGCCGGTTTTGGCTCCTCAGATGAAACCTCCTCCGCGTCCGCCTTTGCGTCTCGCAACATTGCAAATGCTTTAATGATCGTCTCCTGTGTCAGTGAGTTTCGGGCCTTCAGATAAGTGAGATGCTTGGCGAACTCTATCATGCGACTTTGCCGTGAAGTGAGCCAGGACGCCTTCTCCTCGATGAAGCTGAGGTAGACATTCTGAAGGTGAGGCTCGGATGTTATACGCTGCTTCAGGACAAACGCATCCCACTCGCAGATGTACTCCTTCTCCTCTGCATGCACGTCGCTGTAGTCAAGAATAACATCCCGGTGTTTTTGCATCAGCCAGGAGTCGTCCACGGGTGGTGGTTCTATCAAGGCCCCAGGTGCGAGCGTTGCCTTCGTCACGCGGTTGTAGAGCGGTTGCTTGTTGTCCGGGATCAGCTGCCTCGGGTCCTTTGGCTTCACAGGAAGCAAGCGCTGCTGTATCCATTAGTTGTTGTAGGACAAGTGCACTGATCGGGGCCCAGGAACTTACCTGCTTCTGATGCGATACACGAGGCTTGGGCTGTTTCCGCGGAGTCATCTCCCGTGCCGGCTCACTTTCCGCATCTTCTGGCTCTGGTGTGGGTTGGCCATGTTGTGATATCAAGATCCTCATGCCGTGCTTCCCACTCAAGTCGAGCCTGAACTTGAATTCCGGATGATCCTCTGTGTGCTGCAGAAGCAATGCCTGAGATGGATGCGTGGCATAACATCGAATGCAACCGAAGTCAGCCGTCGTGACTTGACCGAGTTGTGGAAGCACCCAGGTCACGCGTCCCGCCTCGGGGCCACTCTCTGTGGCCTTGACTTGCTGTTTCCGTTCCTTCAGGCCCTTCCCGCGGGCTTTGTCGCTCAAGGCTATGAGGTTGTAAATCTGCTTCTTCTTCTGTCTAAGAGCTCGTGTTGGCGTGACTGCTTCTCCAGTCTCGTCAAAATCTTCATCCGGTGGTGGTTCGTGCCCATCCCCTGCACGTATGATGTTCTCAGTCTCAGCGCTCTGGTTGAGTTGGCCACTCGTGAGCGGTTCTAGAGCACCGCTTGCTGCCGCCTTCACCTCTGAAGGCGATTCGAGTGGCCTTGCGCGCAGAGGCGCGCCTGCATGGTTGGTTGACCATCTCAGATCGATGTCCAAATCCAAACCAGCATCGGCCTCGAAGCCGACCTTTCTCCTGAGCTTCACGGGCGCTGTTGTCCGGTGCTTGGCAAATTGGTATGTTGTCTGGGCCGATAGAACCCAGCGCTTTCCTGCGTCCTTTGCGTCATCTCGCTGCTCCTTGGCAAGGAGAGCTTGCGGAGGCCAGTTCGGGTCGCCAGCTGACTCCAACTCGACAGAGATAAAGTAAGAGTCTTCCAAGGTGAAGAGATCGTCGTCCTCTCGAAGAACATAGATCTTCTCCGCGGGAATATGGAAAGGCTTGGTGAGGTAGATCCGAGCCATCCGGCGACCCCCGTCAGCATCTGACGGCACCTTGACGTTGCAGATTTGGCTGTCACAGTAGAGGATCCGAAGCTCTTCTGGACGTGGCGCGCGACAGATGATCAACTTGCAGCGACATCTAACAGAAGTGGTCACCTTGTCCTTCTTGACTGGAGATCCAGCGCTGGCGTCCTTGGTGGATGAGTCCGGAGTGAGGACCGGCCCGCCCCTTTGAGTGATTTTAAGCACCTCAATACGCAAAGCCTTCTCAAAGTCGCAGGGCTCATCTGGCAGAATTTTGCCAACCAAGTCACCGAGACCTCGGTCTGCCGAGCTCTGCGAGAGGCGGCGCCGCTTTGCTGGCCGATGCCCGGCGTCGTCGCCATTGCCGGTGACGCCATGTTCACCGTTTGTTGTGAAGATGCCCTCCGGAGCATACGGCGACAGATGGCCGACGGCGGTCTTCCATGCCCGGTGGAGGAATGGGAAGTCGCGCTTGAATGGTGTCGTAGCTGCCATGTCTGAGGTGGACCGACCATGAGAGCAGCCTGCCACGACGGCGCGACTCCTTGATTATGACTGATAGCTGTGATCACTTATGCAGACCATGAGTGACGGCAACCGTCCCCCGCTGCACACGGCGCGCACGTGGACAGGACGGCGGTTCAAGCACGCATGCTTCAACTATACAGTGCCAGGTGCCAAGTTCGCGCACGGCACTGGAGAGAAGACGCCTCGTGGCGGCGCGAAAGACAGGATTATCCGCTTGTGCCGACGCAGCCAGATGAGAGTCAGGCGTGGCGACGTGTTGCTTAATTGGAGTTGATGTGCATGAAGAATGACTAAAGGAAACAAGAATAATGGGGGACAATGCGCAACACACAAACGCGCTCGTTTGCGTGGCGATGTGGACGTGTTGCCCGAGACATGTGAGTGTAAGAGAGCGACGGGAACGGTGCGAGAACACTGAACGAGGATGAGGCGCAGAGTGAAGATGATCTCGGGCCGGAAAGTGAAGCGCGTGGGAGCTGGCTGGCGATGAAAGAAGCGACGCGTACCGTGCAACGGCGCTACGGCCAGGGGGCGTGCCTGTCTGGGATCAAGCGCACAGTGCCTGTGATCCCATACACACTGTTGAATATGCGCCTGTCGTTCCAATTACACCTGGCGCAGTGTCACGATAGACTACACGGTGATATCCTTGAACTCAATGCTTTCAGGGCGGCGATTGATAGAGCTGCATGGCGTAGATCAACGGCACCAGTTCCAATATTGCAGTCACTCCAAGGTTACAGCAAGGGCGTCACATCTGCCGGCGAAGTAAATGACGACTTGCAGTTTCTTTGGCTTACTATTACGAGCTCGTGAACAATCAATGGCATCGTCTGGGCTCAGCGACCGCAAAGCCCGGAGTCGCAAGCGAGTCTGTGGTTGATTTCTTCACCAGATCTTTCAGTACGAGCCTAGCTCAACTCCAGATGAGCTGGCGATAGAGCCAGTCTGCGCCTTAGAGGAGACAACTCAACCCTCAGCGTTACCCCCGGTATGATTCTCCTTGATAAATATGCACCTGTGTATGCTTCGTCACCTTCTATTTAACAAGCCGGCGAGGCCAGTGACTGCCAGTGGTACAGAACTGCAACATCGCAAGAATCGTGGTGGAGTGCATGATAAAGCTTGCCCAGGTGAAGACGGGATGGCGTGACATGCCCCACCGCAGCCTCCATTCCCCCCTGGAGCTCGTCTGCAGGGAGCCACAGCGGGGTGCGTAACGCGGGCACTGTGGGCCAGCGGCTGCCTGCCTGCAGGCGGATCTGCACTTGCTTTGTGCAGTCGTCATTGCTTCAATCCTATTGTTCCACTTCCGACTTGAACGAATGCTACGCCCTATTCAACACAATTCTCACACGACCGCCTCACGACGACTGCACCCCCGCGATTCGTGATCCTCGATCATATCTCTTCCACCTCTCGCGCGCTTCAATATTCGACAGCCTATTGCCATGGTCCCCGACCTCTCATGCTCCAGCTTTGCAGATTCCAGTCCAGTCTAGCCATTGCCTCTTCGACTAGCAAGCCAAGCTACTCCTAATGGACCTCACTGCTCGCAACAACCATGCCTAATACCGGGCCGAGTCGCGGCTTGCGATCTATACCTCCTCGTGCCGCCAAAATCAAGAAGCCAGCTCGACACACTCGCGCAGCCGCAGCGCTCCTCGCCTCTCCAGACACAGATCAAAGCTTCTCAGATGACGTTGAGCCAGTTCCGGTACAGCAGCCAACCGTCAATAGAAAACGCCCTTCGAGGGCTGCGTCTCGGACTGCTCGGAAGCGCATGCGAGGGACGGACAAAGCGTCCACATCACAAGGATCTCGACGGTCAAAGGCGAACTTCAAAGATTCGGTCAAGCTGAAACAGCCGACATTCACTTACCCTGGCAATGACCTACCTTACCATGTTTGGCTGCGCATATTCGAGTATGTGGCTGCACCTTTGCGGGATCCGAATGCATCGTATAAGGAATGCGACGAGACCCGGCGCTCCCTCCTTTTAATGGCCAGATGTGATCGAATCTTTTTCGAGCCTGCCCTGGCAGCACTTTACAAGTGCGCGCTCCTGCTATATCCGGAGGACTTTGCCGCTCTTGCGAAGCGGTTGAGTTTGAAACCCCAAGAAGCGTCGCGTGCATGGTTGGCAAGGGTTCGCGATCGTGATTCGAAAGACAATTGGTACAGTTGGCTAACTAGCCACAGCTTCGAACAGGCCCTCGCGCTCTTCGGACGCCCCAAGTCGGTGACCGGCTTCTTCCGGGCCCAGCGGCCCATCGAGAGCGAGCTCGAGCACTCGTTCACCATCAGCCTGCAGTATGACGGGGCCCTTCTGGGCCTGCTCGTCACCGTCAAGACGGCCGTCACGAGCCGTATGGCGCAGCAGCTCAAGCAGCTCGTGCGCGGGACCAAGGGGTCGTTTGTCAAGGTAAGGATTGAACCCTTGTAGAAAGCAGAAGGAACCGCGTGCTGACTGGCCAGTACTTCCAGCAGCGAAGCACCTGTCCCCGGGAGGAGGGAGCAGATCGGCGCTGGTGCTAAGCCCCTCGATGAAGGATTCGGGGTCGAGTCGGAGGCCCTGCGCGGCATCTTGACGACGTACAAGGAGTTCGACCCAAGCGTGCAGAAGCATGACCCTGAGACGAAGAAGTACACCGGGGGGTACCCGACCGTCACGGGACGGTGGATGGGGCTGTACGAGAACGTGGCGGATGCTATTAACGGCAAGGCCAAGCTGGAGGTCAAGGCTACGCAGTCGAGGATGGCCTGCGGCTTATCGAGCCGGCGAGGGAGTCGTACGATAGGGGTATCACGGTGGCGTGGAGGTAAGGGAACTCATTTGTGCATCACGCCGTTGGATCATGGTCTATAGATCATCATCGCGTCATTAGACTTCATGAGCCTGGATCTGCAGCGTCGCCCTGCGCCGTCTTTCCTTCCGCCTCCCACCAGCTCTTCATGCCCTCAACGTCGCACCAGTCAAACTGGCGCGGCTCCTCGTACCACCACCTCTCCCCCGGCCTCCTGGGCCTGTCGCTGACGTACTTCCTGAGGCTCCCGCCGTCCGCCAGGTGGTTCTTGACGCCGACGAGCAGGATCACGGCGCCAACCCGCGGAGCGAACTCGTCGGGGTCAAGGAACACGGTCAGCAGGACGCGCTTGCCGGTGGAGGGGTCCGCGACGCGCGCCGTGCGCATGGCGTAGGGGGGCACCGGGCACGGCTGGACGTTGTTGAGGGCGCTGACGACCACCAGTGTGTTGATGGACCAGTTCTGCTTGTAGGGCAGGGCGGGGATGGACCGGAGGCGGGTGAGCTTGAGCGGGATGGAGGGATGGGTCCAGTCGCGCGGCAGTGCGGCGGGGCCACGGTGCGCGTAGGCGACAGCTTCTTCCCTGCGTCGAGAGGTTTTGGAGGGCGAGACGACCATGTTCTCGACATCGTCCGCGTCGAGGCTGTCGTCGTCATCGTAGTCGTTGCTTTGTTGCTGGCGAGGCCGATGCTTCGTCGGTGTTGCTTGGCGCGATTGGCGTTCCGCCTGCGCCAGTGCTTCTTTGATGCCCTCGAACTCGAGCTGGCTGCTGGGTATCAGGTCGACCTCGTCCTCGACCCCGGCCCGGTCGTCGTGTTGCCCTGCTTGTTCGCCGACTTGCCTGGCAGCCGGGCTCACTTGCGCAAGTTCTGAATGCCACCCGACGGTGACCGGGTCGCCAATGACGAGGTACACCATCTGCAACGGGGCCCCCGATTCGTCGTTGCCGAGTTCCATGTGCCAGATGTGGAAGGTGTCGAGGCGCACGAAGCAACCAACATGGACGGCGCCCGCGTCGATGAAGCGGTGCATCTCAGGGCGCAGCAGGGCCTGGATGCACAGGTCGCCGTCGCCGAGGACGAGGCGGACGGCTCGCCATCGCGTCGACCGCGGGAGGGGGGCGATCGTGACGTCCTCGACGAGGAAGATAGAGCCGGGGATGCAGTAGCTGGTGCGGAGGAGCTCGACGATGAGCAGTTTCGGGGTGAAGGGGTCGGACGGGTCGGCGAAGACTATCGGGAGTTCGGGCGGCGCGGGGCCAGGGTCCTTCTGGGCATCTTGGTCGTGGTCGTCGGGAGACACCGGGAGAGGCATGTGGAGGGATACTGTACATGCTTCGGTCAGTCGTGGGAGGGACGGCGGTGTTGAGTTGTTGGTTGGCAAAGTACATGCCTTTCCTAGAACGGAGTAGGTCCAGCTGATGGCTGATTATCAGAAATCATTCAACGCGCCGTGAAGCAAAAGCCGTGACTCTGAACCTGTGATTGGCGCTAGCCCTACGTAAACTCTAGTAGTTCGGTGCTATGTATGGAGGACCGATGTGACGACCGCACCAACAGGGGACGATTGTTAGGGCAGGAAAGAGCACAAACAACGAGGCCACAGGATCAGGCCAGGGACAAGGGCGGATCATGTGGCAGTGCCGTCACGGGTTTCTTATGTAATCACCGACAAAGATCACGATAAGGATAAGGATCGGGTACCGTACCACTGGTCATGCATCTGCATAACCATCACTCCGCCAAGCATGACGGTCACCATCAAAAGCATGCCCGTCGTGCAGAAAAGAATGACCACGCAAGTCACACGATGAAGGACAAAGGATGTATAGATGGAGGATCTCTTAGCCCAGACAGTCAATACCTTTATACTTCAGCGATGAATCTAAGTATCAGTTTCACCACACACTTGAACTAGTCACTCAATTGCCGAGACTGGTATCTCTTTCCAGAGACACGACAACCCATCGAGAGAGAACGACAGCAGGAGTTAAATGAGAATTGCGAAGGCTTTACCTATCTTCCACAGCAGCAACCCCAGCGCCCTGTCAGACGGTTGACCCCGGAGGCAGGATCGTGACACAGGCCGGCCCGCCCAAGACTGTAGGTAGACGTCGTCGTAGAGTAGGCCAATTCGCGGCCGGGTCGCGGTTTCCCCGTTGAGGTGCTTATGAGAGAGGTGCCTTGTAAGCTCGTGGAAGCTTGTCGTAAAGAAGACGCACTTGCGGTAGCTGAAGCCATCGTAGGTCTGGAGTTCTGGATGGGGTTTGGAACCGCAGGGCGGTAGAGCTGCATCCGTAGGTTTGCGGAGGCCGTGAGAGTAGTTATCGCGTATATGCTCCGCAAGTCCTAATCGGCCGGCCAGTGGAACGCTATGCTTGTTCCAGAGATGTGCGATAACCTAGGCTCCATATGGGGAGATGGCGTGTCGGCACTCGATTCGACGGCAGATGAGGACGTGGTATTCTAGATTGGCGTAGAGTTGCAAGTACGTGAAGACCTGGTCGGGACCACTATCGTCTTCCGGCCTCGTAGCTGGTCTGATTAGCGATCGGTTCCGCATCGTCGTACTGTAGGTCGTCTTCGTAGTACCAGTATTCTGGACTGTGGTGGGCCGTATCTGGGGAAGAATTGGGGCAAATCTGGGGTTTAGAGTGGACTCAAATCCGCTGGGAAAGGGGCTGGAATGAGACGGACCTACTACGTGTACAGACCTCTCGTTGAACATGACATGTCCAGGGAGGGAATGAGCAAGACTTCAGGTATGCAAGGATGCCGTCGGAGATGTGGGCTGCGCGGGTCCTTTGATTTTCACTCAAAACCGCCCTGGAATAAGACAGTAGGAGCCGGTGGCAGATGAGGAAGATGGGGGTAAAGCCCTGGATGAAGCGGGAAGCGCAGTTCCTGCACTTCAATGTGGCATAGTTGTGCTGGAGGACGTAGAGGGGCGGCTCATGGCCGCGCGTGTTGCAGAGGACACTCGAGACTGCATTGTCAGTACGTTCATGCCAGAATGCCGGAGTCGAAAAAGAGCAGGCGTCTTGAGCTCAGCCGAGCGATCGGGATTAGAAGGACTACTCTCTTACGTAAATAACGCAAGATCCACCTATTTTATACATTTAGAGATAAGCTTCGGCAGGAGTGGGCTACAGTTTTCTCCTCCTACAGCCCGATCAAAAATTCGCTCCCGCTACCTGCTACTGCCGCGCTCGTGACAACTGCTTCCCTAGCGGCTTCGAGGCGCATCCATTAGTCGCGACAGCTGATCCGTGATGGCCACGAAAGAGACGCCGTCATTCGTCTCCCTCCCCCCGGAGATTCGGGTGCAGATCTACCAACTTTTACTCGATTACGACCTTAACGGCAATTATAGCTACAAACACGCACTCGCCCTCTTTCGACTCAGCAAACTAATCAATCGCGAGGCAAAAGAAGAGTTTTTCAAACTCAACATCTTTGTCCGGGTCGAAGCTGTGTGGCCCGAGAAATTTGTATTTGAGCGCCATGTCCCCATCGTCCTCAAGGACCAGCAGGCAGAGCGCTTCGCAGAGCACAGCCTGAGCGTGTTCATCACGAGCTGCAACCCCGAACCGCGTCGGCCACAGTACTCCGTCGTGCTTCGTGTCGGCGATCTTGACAACTTCATACTCACGTGGTTAGGGGCGCGACTTCCAAAAGAACGCTTTAATGTCGAACTGCGCCTTCGTAACCGTTGTGCTACGGCTTGGGACGAGACAATCACAACCGAGAGGCTGCAGCGGAGGCTACTGATGCCCTTTGCCATATTCAAGCCTCGTCGGAGCCTCGTTATCACGGGTGAGCCAACGCCACTCCCGTCGGTCACACAAGAATTGCACGCCGCGCAGCTCGTTCGCCTGCCCACGCGAGAAGAGTGCCTGACGAAAGCGACGGCGCTCAAGGCCACAGGCAACGAGGCAATTGGACAGGGTGATTACCATAATGCCCTGGAGAATTATAGAGAAGCCTTGGACGCGATATACTACATCATCAGGGGCGGCCAACAATATAAATACTACCCCTTCACGGTGCATGGTCACATGATGGAGCCGTGGCTCGGCAGAAATTGGCAGGATGAGAGAGAAAGACTGTACCATGAACTTATGGCAAACATATGTCAGGTACTTTTGAAATTGGAGCACTGGAATAAATTGATCGAATGGGGTACGCAGAGTATCTCACCCTTCAGAAGGGGAGGTTGGCGGCCATCGCCAGAGGTTGAAGCTGCTCGTGGTCAAGGTTTTCCTGGTTTTATATCAATTGGGAAGATCTACTACCGTACTGCCCTAGGTTACAAGGCACTTGGGGATGAGGTCGAGGCTCTTAGTCTACTTGAAGTCGCGCAGGTATATTTACCACATGATAAGCTTATTAGGGAGCATATTCAAGCATGTAAAGAACTCATTGCATTGAGGTCAACTCAATCTTAGCTAAGGCAGGTTGAGCAAGTTGCACTGAGGCAATTTATTTCACTTGGAAATCGCCGTACATGGGGCTTATGTTGGGTCACTGTGGGCACACATCAAGGAGATGTGCTGGAATAATGCGCCAAGTACAGAGCAACCGGACCATTGAAGCTCAAGGATGAGTTTCGCTTTGCTGCCCTGCCACACCCATCTTCCTACATGCCCGCTGGCCGAGGTGGCCGACGACTGCTACTGCACTCGTGGACCGCAGCGGACTATTCCTTCGTCGGTATAGGGGTGCAGGTCCTCCTGGTGGCTCCATAGCGTGCTTGAAGGGCCAATGAAGCCCTGGCCACAGGCATTTGGCATTTCCTCCTACACTAGCCAATCCATCCTTCATCATCACTCCCTCACTCCCAAATCACGCTACTCCCCGCCGAGCATCAGACGGGCGTCTGGACCGCCATGTTCTAGCGCAGCTTGGGGCGCTCGGCGATGACGAAGATGTTGCACAGACTGCAGGAAATCGCGTTATGTATGCGAATGCTCGCGAGCTTGGGTCTCCCGGCGCGCTGGTTTGAATTCAGGTAGATAGCGAGGCGGAGACAGCTGAGGAAGGGGAGCCATTCTCCGCCGATCTGTCGCATATCCTTGTTCTGCATCTCGCTGTCGTTTGCTCCATACTTGGCACAAACCGTACCACCGCGGTTAACCCACGGCATTCATGTAGATAAACACCCTGGCTGTCTGCCAGCCCAAGCAAGGGGCGACTCGAGACGACCTGAGAGTAGCACCGCTTTGCTCGTTCTCACCCGTCATCGCCACGCCCGCGAGGTCGCCAACTCGGGATTAATAACGCTCCAGGCGTTTGCCGAGTCTTCACACCGGCCTCTGGCGTTGTAGGGGGTCGGGGTCCCGAGCAGGTGGCTCTCATGGGTCAGGCTCTGTCGACGACTGCGTACCAGCGCCGGGCGTCATGAGGTCTAGCACGCGCTCATCACGAGACAGCACTTGTATCCACACTACGAGGTGTTCTTGCTCCCGGTTTTCCAGTTGTCCTCCTCCTTGCCACTCCCCATTCGCTGCCCTCCGCACGCCGGTCCTCACCTTGCCACGGTCTCTGGGATATGTCATTCTCGACTGCCTTATTGCTTTGCCGGCACATCTCTATGAAGACGTAGTAGTAGAGAAGAATCGCAACGACAGTCATCGGGAATAGGTCGCGCGTGGTAACGAAGTCTCCGCACGCCCGCCATTTCTCTGTGCCGTCCTAAGGCCGGAAGCACTTCCCCGACTCGAGGTTCATAACACCCCTTTTGCAGGCGGTTGCGTCTATCTGTATTTCTCCGAGATCGATTGGCACCCAAGCCATACATGCGGGAAAGTCTGACCGTATGATAGACTTTGTTGGCTCTCGTATGGGGCGTAAATGCCGAGCCCTCATGAAGCCCTTCGGACATTAGGGCCTCCCAGCTGACGAATCGGCGGTCCAAAGGGAGTACTATTGAGCGCCTATTCTCCGATGCGCTCTAACCAGTTGTCGAGGTGTATGTATGCGGAAACCTGGCCAACACGGCTGACGCTCTCTGGCCTTGCACTAACTAAGAATTTCCGGAGTACCTCGAGAAGAAGTCTGTGGCCAGAACCGTCTTGGAGCTTCATGACAGCACCTATGCATTTCTTGCCAGGGTCGAGGGGAAAACATTTGACGGTAGCTCGTTGGCGCAGGCTTCGGGGAGTGATTGTGTACCGGTGTGATCGCGGACGAGACTTAGGAGCGCGTTCTCGGTTGCGGAGCCGATGAACGCAAACCGGCCGTTCTCAATAGCCCACAAAGACATCAGAGTTGATCGTAGTCGACTGGAAAATGGCGTCCATGTTAGTCTGCGGGAAACCAGGAGACCGGAAGCTCACTGGGCTGGAGTCGATTCGTTCTTCTCGCTATGAGTTCTGGTCAAAACTGGTATTACCGAAAGTGCCTGCAATGACCGTCATCTTGTTGGAGCAGATAGTAAGTCTCGAGAGCTAGGGGAAACCCACGGGCAAGTCCTCGGGAACGGCCACTCCAATGATAGTGATGGCGACCATGCGAATTTTCCATAGACTTAGACAGCTGCAGGAGCGGTGTTCTGCGAAAGGTCAGCAACGAAGCGGAAGAGGGGAACTGCCACCGATCTTGGCGATCGCGACGGCCAGGCCCTCCAGCTTCTTCTGAGAGGTGTAGCCTCAATCTCCGTGCGACAGATATCACAATCTTGCCGAAGCTAGAGTTGACACCAACTGAGGTCTCTATGAAGGTGTCGATGCCTTCGAGCACCTTTGCGCTAGCGATGATGAACGTGTCTAAGTTCTCCGAGGTCGCGCCAGCCTTGAGCTGCTTCATAGCCTCATAACCAGACGTCTTCTTCAGCGCATCAGGTTCGCCGATTGCCGAAGACTCGTCACACTTAAGGTCATGGCCATCGATAAAAATGCCATCCACAGTAACAAGGTCGCCGGGCTCCAAGTGCGGGACGTCAGGATGTCACCGGCGACAACGTCGTCGTGGACGCTGATCATGTAAGGCTTGCCAGAGCGGAACACCTTGACCTCGCGATCCTCTTTCTTTGCTTTGAGCTTGATAAAAGCCCTCTCCTTCTGCCAGACGTTGAGAGAGAAGACGAGTGCCACGATGAGAATAGCAATGTAGATGGCAACAACTTCGATCCAGCCCAGAGGGGCCTTGCTGGGGCGATGCTCGACACCAAAGGCTTCGTAGATGCCAAGAGCCAGGGAATTGACTGAGGCCACAGTCAGAGTAATAATGACGTTGTCGTTGTAGGCAGTTCAGGCGAGCTGCTAGAAGGAGGTTGCCTTTTGGCCCGGGGGGGGGGGGGGGGTTCCAGGGCGGAGAACAAGGGGTGGATCACGAGCAGCGCCAACAGCCCCTTCTCGCAGCTCATCCAGGGCTGGGCACTTGATGTGAGTCCTGTTGCTGTCACACTGAATGCTACTGGATCCGGCACGGATACTGACCTACCATTAGCCTGTTAAGTATATCGGTGGCGATTGGCACCTGGACGACCAATCCACAGCAGCCGTCAACCACGAGCATCAGATCCATCCGCCACGCCCAATCACCATGCAAGCGTTCGTTTTGGCGCGATGCAGTAGCATGCTGGCCTGCGCGTCCAGCTGCACGCCCCGGATGCCGCCGCCAGCGGCGGACTTCATACCACGGAAGCACATTACCTAACGGCGCTACGGCCGTGCGACCTCGTTGATGGCGTGACGGTTGCGCCGGCAGCCGGAATAGCAGGTCAGGCAAGACATGCGCAGAGTGATGACGGACATTATCATAGGCTATTTGAATCGCGTCCTCGGACAGCTGCGAGCTGGGGACGTTGGGCACCCACGCGCCACTTGCCCAAATCTGCCAGAGCCTCGAGGACTTGGTGGTCCGGCAGCCTTGGGAGTCGGAGCCCCACATGCCCCGCTGACCGGACAACGCAGTGGGGGCACTAAAGTGCTCTCCATCAACACTGGACGCGACTCATCAACTGATGATTTAATGACGATAATTTCGAACCCTCAGCAACTGAAGTAATCTCAGTCAACGCGGCGATGGCAAGCGCGCCCAGCCCTATGACGCAAGCCGAGCGATAGCACTTTAGAGTCATCATGTATGACACGATCGAAGACTGGATTCCGGAACAACCAGAACAACAAGAACAACAATCCATCATTGCCGAGAAGGCAGCCAGCCAGCCCGAAACGCGGAGCCGCAAGCGCAAGCGACAAAAGGGATACCTATCGCCGGACTCATCCGACTCTGAGAAGAAGACGACCAAGACGGTGACGAATCGTCAGGCGATGTCAAATCAGCTACTCAACCCACGAGCAAAGCGAAGGGCCGAAGATGACTTCGAGATCGATCCACTGTTAGACAACCATAATGAGCAGCAAGAGGAGGACGGAGAGGCTACTCGCGAAGAGGATGCAGACGAAACGCCGAAGAGGCGACCTGGCACGATCTTCCCAGCCCCCGCCCCTTCTCGATCCGGTAGCATCACCACGACGAGTTCGCGGGAGTCGCGGGGGTCATCTCCATCGAAGCGGAACCGCAGAGTCCCCCAGGTCATGCTTGCCACGGCAATTGATCTAGCCTTCTTTGACGGATCAGAACCACTGCCGTTGAACCAAATGGTAGTCAAGCTAGAGAGGCTCGATTCCGACCGGCAGTTTGTGTGGAGTGAATTACTAGAGCCCCTTCTCGCTCTCTCTCAGAATGATCCTCGGTTCCGGAAGCTTGCGCGGCCCGTGTGGTTCACCCGGAGCATGAGCACCAACACAGGCATGCCCAACGATGGAGATAATGATATCTTAAGTGGCCACTTCCAAAATCCGGCCCCGAGCATCCAGGCCTTGACGCGCATCATGAACAACGCGCGTCAGTGTGAGGACGAACTCGACGCCGAGGCTGCCTGGAACTGCGAGGTCCATCAACCGCTGTTCGATTTGGCTTTGGACGGCTACCAGGAGAATTTGCGCGCGTCCAACTGCACGGCGGCCACGATCCGACCCGAGTACAGTACATATACAACGCCAAGCAACAGCAGCAACTACAACACAAAGAAAGTAGACTTTTGCATCACTCTACGAAGACGAGCCGATGCGCGCATTGCGGCCCTCGTGCGCGATGGCGTCGCCATCAATCACACGGTGTACGAGCCGTACATGCAGAACCCCATCGCCATTAGCATCGAGACGAAATCGCGCAAGCCGGATCGAGAGGAGGCACTGCTGCAGCTCGGCACCTGGCTCTCGGCGCAGTTCCAGTGCCTGCGCCACCTCGTCGTGGCCAGATACGCCAATCTCGCCGCGGGCAGAGACGCGTGGCGCGCTGCTCTCGAGGAGCTCGCCTTCCTCCCAGGCGTCATGGTCTTACAGCACAGCTGGCACCTCGTGGCTGCAACGCGACCCGATCCTGACACTGAAGCCAATTCTCAGCAGCAGCAGCCCCGCGTCAAGCTGTGGAGGACTCTCGAAATGGGCAACACGCAAACGCCCGAGGGCATATGCCAACTCATTGTCAGTTTGCGCATACTCCTTCACTGGGCACAGAACACGTACTGGCCATGGTTTGAGAAGTGGGTGCTGCGGCAAGTGGAGAGATCTCGATGATGATGACCAACCGCTGGGTTGGGAGAGACCGAGTTGGAGTGTGTACTCAAATAGCATTTGTTATGATACCCCGAGATGGCCGGCTGCTTGCACTAAAGTACTCAACCATGACTGTTTTGACAAGATTGCAGAGACCATTATGAGTGACGGATTTCGCCAACGTTAGTGACTTACTTAGTGATCTTCTGACAGGATGTGGATGTCGTTCCCAGGCAATGCCAACATACACCTGGGTTAGCCGAACTGTCGCAGTCCTGTAAGTCCGAAGGCCAGACGGTCGCAGCTGCCATCGCTAGGCCGGGTGTCTTCAGACAACCGCTCTATTCACACACTCAATTGACCTACGAACGAATGCGGATTGGACTGAGCTTAAATCTGCCTGGTTCGGGTTCCATATTTTGCCAACGCAACGCAAACAGCATTACGAAGTCGAAGATACCAAGCTATGGCTCACACAGTTCCCAGAATCGCATGAGCAGTTCTGTAATGATAATCGCAACCTCGATTGTCTCCGGATGAACTCGCTTGGCAGCTCAGCACAGATCCGAGAGTTTAGGTTTAGTGATTCCAAGCCTATTGCTCTCGAAAAGCACACGCCAGGCGGTCTCTGGCTGGTGAGGTCGCATGGCAAGCACGGACAGTATCGTCTGGTGGCGATATTACTCTATCGTGCTTGGGACATCCCAATTTATCAGAACTGGTTCTACAGGGGCGGCGATAAGGACCCAGTCCCGCACGGTATTCCCAAGGAAGCCTGCGTTCGTTGCCCGGTGGTGTTGCCCGCCAGATCTGGTCTGGGTTCCTATTCTGACAAGGTTGTTCAAGACCGGGGGGGGGGGGCAAAAATACATTGTTATATGAAGCAGAGTTATAACTGTGACGTAAGTCCTAGCCGGATGCGCCATCACGATGATCGCTACCACTAATTACTGTTATCCAATCTGAACCTGTGACGGGAGGGGCAAGGAGCGCTTTGGCGGATGGACGAACAGACGGCCATGCGGCAGGTTCTACGGTTACGGGGCGGGCGAGCTCTTACTGTCGTGCTCCCCACGGGCGCAGGAAAGAGTCTGTTGTTCATGATCCCATCCGTGCAGACCGTACACGGGGGTGTGAGCATCGTCGTCGGACCATTGGTGGCACTAATGGACGACATTCTCACTCGGGCCCGCTCGGTCGGGATCAACTGCATGCGGTGGAGATATGTAGAGGATGAAGGGAGAGACGCCAATGTGCCGGCTCGCTTGGCAAGCAACCACGAGTTCATGACAAACGTCGACAGCCTACGGGAGCGGCGGCTACTTAGGCGGATCTTCATAGATGAGCGCCAGACAATTATCACGGACATTGGCTGTCATGGGAGGCGAGGTCGGTCTAGAGAGCTACACCGGCTTGACCAGCCGCTTATTCTACACACAGCAATGCTGCTGGTCAAGCTGGAGGGGTTTTCCGGGGGCAGATGGTCGCCAGCGATGTAGAGATTATCCGGGCATCAACGGCCAAGAAAAGACATCAGCTACTACGTTGTCCGGGTGCAAGGCAGGATCCGGCACTAAAAGGGCGACAAGGGGGCTATTTACTGCCGCCCGAAGAAGAGCTGTGAACAGCTAGTTGTGTCGGGTGCTCGTACTACCGCAGCAGGGTGGAAGGCTGGGAGCGGCTCGATGTGCTAGCGAGGTGGTCGAACGGAAGCTCACAGTCACGGTGGATCACGGCAACAACTTGGCTGGGCACAGGCGTCGACATGCCGGGAATATGCATTGTCATCCACGCGGAGCGGCCGTATGGGCTCGTGGTCTACACTCAACAGACAGGGTGGGGCGGCCGAAGGGATGGCGAAGTTGTCGAGGCTATTATCGTCATACAAGATGATGGGAAGCAGGGGGGCGAGGGTAGGGCAGATCAGGGTGAGGAGGCGGATGTGGAGAAGGCTAACCGAGTGGCAATGGAGCAATTCGTCGACACGAAAGGATGTAGGCGAAGGGTCTGGGGTGGTTTTAAGGACGGGGCCGGTCGGGGTGACTGCGAAGTGCTCGAAGCGGTTCGATGTGACCGCTGCGAGGAGAGAGAATAAGATGTTCTTGGTGCGACCAGCCACACCACGGCCGTGAGGAAATGGAAGGGAATTTCAGAGCCAGCGACCCCACCTTGTACTGAACTACAGTCAACGCGCTGATGGCTGGACGAAGGCGCTGAAACGGGATAAGACGGTGCTCACACAACGGCCCAGTGGGCCTCTTTGCCAGATTCCATCTTCTCTCAGCATATGGAAAATTATGCTCTAGACGCAGAGGTAGCTACACCAATCTGTCGAAGAGCGCGGGAGAGCAGGACGGTCTGATACAGAGCTACTCTTGGTTGCCATTGAGGCTAGAGAAAGTTTCCACAATTCAGGCATCAGTAGCTCGCAGCTGACCCCTCAAAGTTAGTTTTCTGGTGGAAAGTATAACTTAGATAGACAGCAAATCCACGTCACTTCATAAGCGAAACGTTGCCACCCTTCTTCCCGATCCATTGCGCGCAGCCTCAGCAAAGCTGTGTAGTTGTCACACAATGATGCCAAGCCTCTACGGGAGGTACAGGTTGCCTGGCGGAACATGCTCTCCATTTCCATGCGTGGCTCCTTGGGCTACATTTTATTCCTTGCTTCGACCTCCACGGCTTTATTTACGGAGTGTTTGCGCAAATAGTCAACTGCGGACAGAACTCTTACAAGCTCTTCACGGAACATCATTCAACCTAGAAGCGGCTACTCGATGCACAACAGGCTTGCAAGTAATCGTCGGCTTCGTGCTAGAATTCTTGACGGTTCACGAGGCTATCGACATTCTCTTCGAGTTCCGCGGGCCTAGGTGGAGGTTGAATGCACAAATACTGTGGAGCGGCATGAGAGAAGAAGTAGCGCAGGCATGGGCATCGGCACGGACTTCGCACTCTGACGAAAGCGATGGGTCGCCTCAGAAATCCTCGTCACGATTCTTGCCTGAGACGACCGAAGACGAACGCGGGATGGACTACTTACATGAAGGGTGCCTCTGCACTCTTCGCATGGTGCATTGCTCAAGAAAGACATGTCATAATCCTCACGCCACCACCAAACCAGCGGTTCCACCCGTCAAACCTCACGAGTTTTCAGCGTATCGAGGGCCCTGTTCTTGCAGGGTGCTACGGAGTGCCATTGGTCAAGAGAATCAATATATGCCATCCCCAGGTAGAAAACGCGCACGAATCGTCATACCAATTGTGGCCAAAAGACAGGGCTTGGTCTTGGCTTGCAGACTTCTACGATAGTCCCTACGGAGGTGAGCCGTTCCGACGAATCAATGGCTGGACACCAACCGAGGTCTGTGGTCTCCAACCGCCTTCGAATCTTGGACTCGCCTCGATAACAGAGGTCAGAATCGAAATGGCCGTAACAGGCATGCCAATCAGGAACTCGAGTAGGACAGCGATTCTTTTCGGAAATGCCAGAGACAGCGAACTTCGTCAGCTCAGTGGTTCTTGTTTAGCGGAGGAGTCGCAAGTACAGTCGGACATTCGTAAGGCATTTGTGACAACAAACTCGGTTATGAGAGCTGACGAGGTTTAATGAAGCACGGCGATCCGCGGCGCTCGCACAAAAAGCTATTACGGCGGCCCCAGGGACAACCGTACCATCGAATAAATTCCAGAAGAAGGCACTATCTACGAAAGGAAAGAAGAACAGAACACGGGTTTTGGGCCGCAGATAAAACAGAAGGAGACGAATGGGAACAGATAGTAAGACTATTAATTGTCCGTGAGAGTCGAAGGGAGCAATTGTGTACCTAATTATTGGCGTACAAAGCCCTACAACTTACTTCAAGAATCCTCGGTGCGTCTGATTCAAGTAATATTTTGCTGGATGCTGGTGTTTTCGCGCGCTACCTGAACCCTGCCGTGCTTACCACTTACATCACCCATTAACACTACACATCAACGCGATGTTCCGAAACGAAGCAAGCCAAATGTTGTGGGAGGTCAGGCGGACTTGCCATCGTGGCGCCACTGCTTTCACGAACGGGGAGTTTCCTCGTAAAACGGGCTAAGAATGGACTCGTTCTTGTTCTGTTCAGGGAAAATCGAAGTTTAGAGCCGTGGCGCACAGCAGTGGATTGGCTTGGCGGGCAGTGGCTTGCCATGATGGCACCGCTGGAGCGGTAGTCAAGAGGCCATAACCGGGTTATGTCCTTGACAACGCAAGGTGGCCACAGTCGCGCCACCCCTTATTCACTCAACGACGTGGGAGCATTACCGCAGCTGACCAAGCCTCAATAGGCACTGTTGTCGCTCAGAGTCTCTTTGCCATACATTATATGTTAGGTCGGCCAAGACCTGGTCGAGATCGTTTTCACGTTCTGGCGTGGTCGCGGAGTCGGTTGGTAACTGGTTGCGCATCGTTCTGCCGTACGCTGCTGTCCGTCTTGTGGATTTCTCGGTGGAGCATATTGAGTACTAAATATGGGAGTAGAAAGGAAATCTGTGGTAATGAGTATTGAGCAAATTCGGGGGAAAGGGGTTAGAATGAGACTACGTGCACAGACCTTTCGTAGGACATGACATTGTCAGGGAGAGAATGAGCGAGACTTCACGATGTGCAGAGATTTTATTGGAGATGTGGGGCGCGTGGATCCCCTGGTTTTCACCGAAAACTGCCCTATAATAAGACAGCAGGTGGGTTTGCCATGTCCCATGGTCGCCTACGCTTATATCCTGATAGCGCACATTTTGAACTTTGACGGTATCCTGCAAGCCTCTGTCATCCGGGACAAGTAAGGTAACCTTTCAGTACACTCCATGCTCCTGGTCAAGCTGACCCCCTTGCTTACTGTATCATAAACATTATGCTGGAATGCCATGGTATGAATCACGTCCATGATTTTCAGCCTTGACAGTAAGAGGGCGATACTGGCAACTATGACGTGACTGCTCGTTTGCATGACTCGGCAAACGGGAATCATCAGCTTGTCATTGACAGAAGAATGAGACCGAAAGCTGCTAAGGCCTCCGAAGAGCGTGATGACCCTGTCGAGCCAACAGATTACCTCTCTCAACTGGGATTCCAGATTCCGGGTCCACAAGCATAGCCCAGTTCTCATTTTCACTTCCCTTCATTCTGTGCGCCGCGCAGTGATCTATCCAGCACGCTCTTCGATGATGCCTGGGAGTGCTCTCAAGGGAAGGTCCCCTCCGTAGAGCCTAAATGCTAGCGTAAAACATCACTTCGTCTCGAAGTCGGTAAAGCTCTGCGGCATGCCTAAAACATGGCCAACTACAGTACTTTCCATGACGAAACAGGCAATATACATCTCTTCTGGACAGCGTCTTGTAAACTCCATGAGCCCCGGACGAACGGAGACCCGGGAGACTGCCCCCCCCCCCCCCCCCTTCCTGCCCCGGGACTCTCATCTCCTCTCATTATGCCTCCATTTACCTGAGGTTTAGAGAACGCAGAGTGAGGAAAGAAGACGAGCAGCACATTCCACGTGTCTCCTCTGTCTTGCGGACAAGCAAAAAAAACCCCTCGGTCGCCCTCCTCCTGGGGAGGACGGTTTGTATTATACTAATCCAGTCAATCATTTGCTCATCTCACTGATAAGAAATTCATACCATCAAACCAATAGTCAGTGATCCCTGGACCGCCCAAACCAACTTTTAGCCCCCGTAATATTCTTGCCCCAGTTAGCGCTTTCAACCCGGACTCAACACTCACTGATGCACTATCGAGTGAGGAAGGATAGCGAGTACTGCCCGTCAAATAGGTAAGTTCGCGGCTCAGAGATCGCTGGCCTCCAGGATTTCTGCCGGGAGGAATGTAGGGGCGGAACATTTCCGAGTGTGCTTATCAGCAATGTAATCATAGTGTGCAGTGGGATATTCCCACCTGAGAAGTTGGGAATGCCCTCGCCGCCGGTGCTCTGCAATGTTGACTGGGGCGAACCCTGCCCAAGGTCAAGATGTTGAGCGGCCAGAGCTGGCAACAACGATACTTGTTCATGGATATTGGACGCAAATTAAGGTTGGAAAGCCATACACCGGTTCTTGCATTAGCCAGAATTTGACTATGATACAGCACCACGTTCCTAAACACGACCTTGGTCAAATGACAAGCTTTATTCGATGACCAAATTCACAGTCAAAGACTGTGCTTCAATCATAAATACCGCAGCGTGCCCATTGAAAGTCGAGTATGGCCGACATCGTTTCTCTCTCCTCTGCCACTCCCTGGGTAAACAGGGCTGCGCTACCTAGTACCAGTCCCAGACCTACGAAAATAGGAAAGATAGGGAGAATGCCATTCATCATGTTCATTACAATGTTTCTCGCGAGCAGTGCGGTCAATGTCCTTGCTCTTGTGCCGTCGCCAACGCCGCAAGGTAATGCTTGCCCAGCATCCTATTGCTCTGTGGAGTCGCAGTTCCATCCCATCATGCTCCAGGGGATAACATGTGACGACTGGACAATGGGCGGCAACGTTCCTGATTGGGCTGCACAACAATCCGGGTGGTTTCCTGTGATCAACACGACTAGCATAGAGATGCTTGCGCGCTACGCATCCAACCGGCCGCAGTCGCCGCAGTGGGATAAAGGACATGACCTGATCGACGCGCTGGATAGAGTGGAGCGCCTTAGTAAGGACTCGTTGTTATCCTGGAATGGTATCCTCTATGCAGCGCTGACGGAATTCTGGCGTACTTACCGGATACCGCTGGCTGTGCGTGTTGGTGAACTTGTGGAAAATCGGAGAGACTCGCTACTGACCTCGTCTGAGGCTCTAGAGATGAGCGAATACTTGTATTTCCAGGGAATGGGCTCATCCTATGTTCCATGGATGAATGAGACAGACCACAAGGTGCGTGGTCTAGCGACACGCGTTAATTGTAGTGGCCTGCGCGAAGGAGGTCCATACAAGAGATTGCTGCATTCCGCTGCCGTGTTTCATATGCTAGACACGCATTGTACGCACGATCAGTGGCTTCTCGGCAGCATATTGCATAACATCAATACAATTAAGTGGATCGCTTATGCGATGAAATGGTCTTCCATAGAGCTGAAAGCGGGCCTGATGAAAGAACGCTTATACATTATCGGGCGGGAAAGAGACGCGGAAAATAGTTCGTCACGGTTACCAATACAAACAACGGCGGTGTCAAGAAGCTCCCCAGTGGCTTGGATGTAAGGAGCTACAGTACTAGGAACAGATAACATGGTCAAGTGATACCTATTTAATGCCAAGATTAAGCATGGAGGAAAGGTGAAACTGTGGCTTAGAAGTTATTACGTAGTTTAAGTAAACAAATTATTAAAGCGTAGACAGGAAGTAGCCTTTCCACATAAACCCTAGTATTGTTTGCATCCAAGCCAAGTCACCACGACTGTCCATTGCCGGAAAGTCTTTCGTGCACAGTTCTAAACTTCTTCCATGGCGTCCTCTCCATCATATGCATCATCCGCTTGGCGCCGCTTATACCATCGAACCTAGGGCCAAACATACGGCAATGGCTTTCGGGATATGCCGCCACTGTACTCAACGACACACTTGCGTCACAATCGCCCTATTGATTTGCGGACTCACTCTTCCACTAGCCAACCAGTGTCTCGTTCGTTAGCAAGACCCGAACATCCAGCTCTCTCAGCGAAGGGAACTTCGAACGAGCCAACGATCATTCTGAAAGACTCTGGATCTTGAATGCCAGTGCATGCTGAGTCAGAAGAGTGTCTCCCAGTGGACAATGAGCTCACCACGAATGAAACTTCGCTGAGTGACTCGGATCCATAAGCAAGACTGCGGCGTTGGTGGAAGCCCTCGGGTGTATGCCATTAGCTATCAGCCAAGCAGGGGCATACATCCGATTGCGAGCGCCGCGAACATCGATCGGCGAGTACTTGAGGGAATTCTGGAGGAGTGAGCATCTGGAGCTTAGTCTTCTTAATAGGGACGAGGGCGACCTTGGGCGAGACCAGAACGCGTTGAATTCGATCGCTGTAACATGGAAGTTCTCGTTCGAAGCTATTCGATCGGAGCAGCCATCAGCAGCCAACCTACTTTCCCTTACGAGGTTTTCGACCGGCAGGGCATCCCCCAGTGTCGATTTGCAACCGCCTTGAACTTTTAAGGGGGCAGTCTTCCCCTACTGCAATAGAAAAAGGTGTTAGAGAGGCAGTCAATAAAACAAGGAACGTATTATCAACAGCAGCTTAGCCGTACGCTTGCTTCCGAAATGTGGAAGGAAGTTCTGGGAGACGATGAGAGACAGAGGTGCGACTCGTAGACCCCGCCGCCCTGTCGAAACCATCAATGAGACAGACCCCGTCGGACAAAGGCCCTTACTAAAAACCAGAAATTGCGAGCCGTGCGACGGCTAAAATGGCCGCGTTCAAGGTGCTGGAGAAGTGGGCTAAGCCTACATCCAGGCAATTTTTCTTTGGTGCTTGCTCACCCTCACGATTGCCATGAGACACAGTACAGCAAGCCGGTATCATCGCCACTAGACTGCATTTGATCCAAGACGCCCTCAACTCTTACCCTGACATCTGAGCATGGCCTGGAGCGTTTAACTGGTTTCCAAGACATGAGTCAAGGCTTAAACAAAGGTTAGATAGATAGGCTGTCGCGAACCATATGCCCCTAGCCGTTATAGTTTCCCGACGTGGATAATTTTCTTCAGGACTACAATACGCGGTTCCTGAGAGATTCCAACTCTATGCTTTTGAAAGCCAGATGGCGGAGTCCTTCGTCATCTTCGACAAGGAAAAAAGGGTGCACAAGCGCCGTCGAGACATGTTACCTGTAACATCAAGCAGCCCTCTCCCTTGATGACAATAGCGCTCCCGGAACTGCAGGAATAAATCTACGCCACGGCTTTGGAGGTTTGAAAAGCCATGCCTTCGGACAAATTCGCCAGCATAGTAGGTGCTCGAAGCAATGATGACCTTTTGCAATCCCAAGGGCTCTCAAAGTTTCGACGCACAGTTCGCTCGATATTGTACCGAGTCCTATGAAGGACGAATCGATGACACACTGCATTCCCCTGCAATCACGCAAATTTCCGCTCAGCCGTCTACCAACCCAATAAGCGGACACTCCAGAGTGCATGCATTGTAGGACGCCTGAGCGCGGTCGATGCCTGGCCAGTGGTCTGAGCATAGAGAGATCATGCTTCAAAGCAGAAGCATTTGGTGCCTCTCACATGCGTTGCTCACAAGAGCGCGTTTCAGTTACCGATCCACCTATCGTATTGCATCTCTTGCTCCATGTCCCTCCCTCAGGCGGTCCAGCACACGGCCATCACGAGAGAGCACTTGTATCCACGCCACGGGGTGTTCTTGTTCCTATTGTTCTTGATTGCCCTCCTTTCTTCGCTGGCACTCTCGGCATGCTATTTCTTCCCTTGCCAATGATTTCGGGAAAAGCCATTCCTGACTGCCACCCTGTTTCGCTGGTACGGCTCCATGATGACGTGGTAGTCGGCAAGCATCAAGACGACTGTCGGTGGGGACAGAGATCGTGTGTGGCGAAGTCAGCGATCGCCAGCCGCTTTTCTGTGCTGCCCCGGGTCCAGTAGCACTTCCCCGCCTCAAGCTTCGTGACCTAACTCTTGCACGCCGTTATTTCCATCCCGTACTGCTCCAAGATCCACTAGCATTTGGAGAAGCCATATATGCGGGAAGAGTCTGTCAATATGAGAGGCTTCTCGCGGCTCTCGCATGGGGCGCGACTAACGAGTCTTCGTGCCTGGATGAAGAAGCCTTTGCTGATGCATCGGCGGCCCAAAAGGACCACCGGTGGACGCCTCGACGAAGAAGCGCTGGAACCAGCCACTGAGGCGTAGGAATATGAAGCCCCGGCCGACGGTGCTACCGCCGGCCAGCTTGTAGGTGAAATGATTCGCGATTGGTACCGCGTTCGAGTACCGCAGGTAATCTCTGTGTTGTCAGAACCCCCCCGGGGTATTGTGGATTCTTGACCATAGGTAGGCAGTGTTTGGGGGAAGTCCGCAGCTGAGAAAGTACTCGGCACACCAGGTAGTGCTCCGCCGTCATAGTTGCCGTCGTCGTTACAATGGTCGTCCTCGTCGTTCCCGTCGTCCCCGCGTGTGCCGGGTTTGCTCCCTTTAGTCGCGCTGCTAGGCGAGCTATACGGTCTACGCCGAGCTTTGCTGCGGCTAGAGCGCCCACGAACGAGTCGAGATCCCTCCCCCAGTCTCCCCTGAGCATTCAGGCCAGTGGTACTCCGATCGGCGGATCGTACGAACGACGATCTGCCACCCGTACCCGTCTGGTGTTAGCCGCCTGCTCAGTAACCGAAGCCGTGAGGAAGACCGGGCGGCGGCAGGCCGACGATGTGCTAGCTTACCTCTTTGACGACGTCCCTGACGTCCTGATTGCGGGCCAGTCACTGCCAACCTGCTCGCCTAGCCCCATCTCGGCCGCGTATGGCCAGGACCAGCAGCTTCCGGATCTAGGACCTGGGGCCGCTCAGTATGCCGTGCCTATCCTTGGCCCTCATACTGTCTGGGTGTGTCCCACCCTCCTTCTTTTGTAATGGCCAGGATGGTAGCGAGCTCTCGTAAAGCCCCGCGTCTTGTGATATAAGAGGAGGCCGATCTGGAGGCGGACCTACTAGTGTCGGTGCACCTCCTCCGTGTCCTTGGCCCTCCTCGCTGCCTGCTCCGAGACGTCGGCTGCCGGGTTCCTGATCCTTCACGGCGCCCAGAGCCGCCCAACACGCTCGCGGATCCTCGCCTCGGCGATTTGTATCTTCTTCTGGGCTGCCGTGAGGGCTGCTTACCGGGTCTTCGAGCAGACGGTATGCTTGTTTGTCGAGAGGTCCACCTCGGCCGTGCGTCGTGACGATGGCGCCAGCCTGTCCCGGGAATGGTCTCCAGCTCGCTTTGCGGAAGTCCTTCCCAAATCACCTTGGCATTCCACATCTAAGAGGACAGAAGAGAGCTACATGTCACGATCAGGCGTCGGGGGGGCCACGCGTCTAGTTGAACTCTTCTACTTTGCGTATCTTCTTTTAGCCCTGAAAATCGAGGACGCTTTTCTCAGTGGGTAGTAGCCGCCCGACGGGGTCCCCCGTAACGCGAGGAAAGCTATTATCTTCGAAATCCTCTTCTATCATTGTCCATTCTTCTCCCAGCGGCACGAAGTTGTAAATGGCTTGGCTAATGTCCAAGGCGAGAAGATTCGGAAAGCCAGGGTCAGGGTAAGGCACAACCAGGGGTAGGAGCTACGAGGAAGATGCGTCTACAGCGAAGGTCAGTCTCCTCTCTGCGTTCATAATTGTGCAATACCGTTGCACGTGACCCCAGCTGACGACAGTACGTGCGACGCCTCGGACTCGGAAAAGAGAAATGCAAGCTCCAGTCCGAACAGCTAGTGAACATCAACAGGGAAATTGTAGGAATCTTGACCGTGGTCATGGCAGGTATGGCGGCAACGTCGCGATACGTCAAGGTCTGGCGAGTATTGAGTCAGCAGCCTGCTAAGTATACCTCTATTTGCCCTATTTGCCCTTGCTCCTGGGGAATGGAAGTGCGTTGCTTTGCGCACTCCTCATGCACTTTCTTGGTTAGAAAAGGGGCTGAAATGAAACGGGCCTGCTACGTGCATAGAGCTTTCACAAGATATTACATGTCCAACATGTGGGTAACAGGCACAGTGAGGCAGGCACGGGGGACTAGGAATCAGTCGCATTATCGAGACGCCGATGCAATAATACATTCATTGACATTGTCTACATGCCGACCTTACGAATCTAAGGGCGATAGTGCTTTACATCTTCACATATCCGTGGCTATGATGTCTGGAAGTATAGATAGATAGTGCTCTGCCTGTTGTTTCTTGACCTCAAAAACGTCTTTTCCCGTTACCTAAGTTGGCGCGCATAGACTCATCTTGCTTTATTTTAGCAATTTCCTCACCATACACAATGCCCAAATCAAATTGATGGTTCAAAGTATCTTTCCATGGATCAGCAGCCATTCTAATGATATCTTTCAAGACCAAGGCAAGTGGGCAGTTCTCGCATTGTTCTGCCTCGAAATCCTGAGACAGCGTACTTAGCTGAGGGCTCTTAAGTTCCATGAGAACCATGGATGTAAAGATACCGTGTAGTCTGGCAGCATCTTTCTCTGCATCTCCTTGGGAGCGCTCTTTTGAAACATCTTCAGAATACATGGCTCGACCGACTTCAGACCATACCAGGTGTCGTACGATTCTTGGTAGTTCAGAAGTCAGCTCCCGCTCAGTTGCACGGAATTCTGACAGAACTTCGAATTCATCGTCGGAGCTATCTGTGTCACTGCACGCGTTGGTAGGGGCTTTGTCTACCTTGCTCCTCGCAGAATAGCATTCTTGCGACTGTTCTTTTTCCCCTGGCTCTATTTTTAATACCTGCGGGAGCGTATATTCCATAGCAAGTTCTTCCTGACCTAGTCGTTTCGGTTGCCAAACTAAGGATTGACATTTCGTACCATGATTTGAACTGTAATCGATAGCGCTTCTGATTTTAGCCCGCCTTACTATTTTAGATAATGCCTCGGGGCGGCGATGAATGGGTATTTTCTTTTCACTCCTGGTACGCGTCATGGCTAGGTATTGTCGACTGGGCAGTCTTCTTATACCTCAAAATAATTCCTAGTAACTCTCGGAATTGGACGAATTTGTCATTCAATGAGAGCTACAAAACCTTTCACAGTTTAATTTACGCACAGTGAGGTAATGCTCCTCATCACATATCTTGCGATGACCGTCAACTACCGACTTGGCCTGCCTGGCTCGGCGACTTCTTCTGACTATTGAGGTCTTCCCCATTGCCTTTATGCTGATCGTCGATAGGTGATTCAAACTCGGTGCGCGAACGCGTCCTTTAATCAGCTGAAATGGGTATGGTGCGGGTTCTCGCCGGCATAGATTTCGTCGTTCTCCACTTCCTAGGTGGGAGGGATCCTGAAGCCTTGAAAGGCCTGTAACACAGCATGCCGCCTGGGTAGTGGTATCACATAAGACTCTGCCCATTGCATCAGCAAAATGGACGTTTGCCATTGTCAATCTTTCGTAAGTGAAACTCGTGGATTCCTCGTAAGGCGATAAAGTGGGACGTTCGTGATTCCAAATCTGTCAGAGTGCGTAGCATTACAGAGATAGGACGCAGCTTGGGGTTGTAGAGCTCCGTATTGCGCTTTGCGGAGCAGGGGCAAGGCCTACTGCATGAGCCTGTCGCTTGCGACCCTAAGCCGAGACTCCACCTAACATGTCCCTCTGTCGGTGATATCCTGAGGCTCGAGAAATGCTGCGCCGCGCGTGATAGACAACGACTTTAATAAGGCCTCGCATTTGCGGCAATCACGGTTTACGGCTGTGTAGACCTACCGTGGACGGTATCCGGGAATGTATTACGCGCTTGACAGTCCCTGCTACGGAAGGATTTGTCGGAAAGTGATGTATGGTTACCACTCAGCGATAGAAACTGTTTGTAGAAAGGACGTATGCACCGCATCTCGGGCTGAAAAGAACAAGCTCCGGCGTCAGCGTAGTGATTATAAAGGCCTTCCATCACATAGCTGCCGCTCTTATATTCTCTTTGGACCAGACAACCAGGGACCCGACATCTGAAGAGTGGCTATTATGGTAGCATCTCGCCGCGCCAGTGACTATTGAAGTATTGGCCTTTTCAATGTAAAACTATTCTCCATCACTCAAAGATGGCTATTTACGGCACATCACTCTCGTTCACCTCTTCTCTTAAGTTGCCTCCTTCGTTTCCTCTGTGGCTGCTGACGCCCTGATTCCAAGTAATAATGGCGTCACTTAGATAAGATGTGTCTATTGATCCTCCTTGCGCAGCCGCCCTCGGTGGGCAGAAGCCCCTGCCTTGTAGCGAATGTGCTTTATTGTGCGAGAATTGATCACGCGGTCTCTAAGTGGGCGTGCTAGTCCGAGGAGCCGCACCATTTCGGCCGTATTGTGAAGGAGGCGTTTACAAGTAAGAATGACATGACGAGACCATGGCCCTCTGCGATGCTCTACCTTGACAATATGATTTACTCGAAGGTGCTGGACTAGACGTATGCCCATGTTTACCAGCGGATTTGCTCACTCGTGGGAGTATCGAGCTATCACGTCAGGTGTTCCTTAGAATACATCTTCTACATATACAGCCCTGTGACGGCTGCTCGGGCCTGGATGCACGCGTCGATGATGACGGTGGTCTGGACGATACACATGATAGACCATCACTATTCAAGCCAGTTCCTGTTCCGGCAGGTGTGGCGCATTGAGTGAGACGACGAAGGATTCACGTGCAAGGTGTCAAGAGGAGTGATAGACAACGGCTCGGATGAAGGCCTCCTCGAACATACTTGTCCCTGCGGGTTGAACATGCTTTCCCAGATCGCTGTGAAGGACTCTGGCTATGAATTCTGCTAGCAGAAGACTCGACTATTGCGGTTCAAAAGAACCTCTCACACATTAAGGACGATGCCGGCGAAAGACGCATGATAGACTCAAGCAAAGATGACCATATATAGACGGGGGCGTAAAAATACTTGGACTGAAGCACGACTCTATACGTCCGACCACTAAAAGTCAGCAGAAGGAGAATCGTCGTTCGTAAAATGTACCAATCTTATTCCGCGAACACCATTATTCCACGCACTACGATTCGTATTACGTGAAGCCACGTAGATCATGAAAAATAAGGCATTGCACAATTATCGTTTGTTTTTTGGCGAATTCTTTATTATTACGCGAGATCAGTAATTATGATCTCATCGCTCACTTTACAGCCTAGTACATGAATACTTAAGCCCATTGGTGTCTCTAATCATTGACTGCGACAAAGGTACAATAAGAACCAGGTTCAGTTTCCACATTTTACGCCTCAGTGATTTCTAAAATAAGTCACTGTGGAGCACACTCACAGTGCACACTTTTGGCTTTCTGGTGTGGGGAGATGACAAGCTAGAAACATCAACCCCACTTCTATGACTCATAGCCATGACCAGACACCAGACATTGGATATCCTAGAATCCCCCAGCATTGCCACCCTATCTGATTTCTTCCTCTTTCGCCACTTCAGGAGCACACCAGGCTCAATATGGCTCCTCGACTAACCCGATCTCAGCATGACCAGATCTCATACATGATCCATAAAGGGTTCGACAACGAAGCCATTCTTGACGTCGTACCTTGCACTAGTCGATCCCTCCGTAGAATACGATCGACGTTCGCGCAGTTTGGAACGACAATTGCACCCGTGAACCGAACCGGTCCAGATCCCAAGATTACTCCTTCAATGAGTGATATACTTATTCACCGACTCAGTAAAGAAACTGACATGACGCAGCGTGAGATGGTCAAATTTATTCATGAAGAGTTCGACGAGGAGGTGTCTGTAACCACAATCGCTCGAACTCTTAAGAAGTGTAAAACGACATTCAAGGTCAAAAGGCGTGTAGCCCAGCAACAGGTGCCCGATCTACAGCACTTCTATTTCTACCGATTGAAAATGCAAGGATGCCGTTCCTACCATTATGTTTTTATTGATGAATGTGGCTTTGACAGGCCAGGTATGTATCGCAAGAAAGGATGGGCGCCAAAGGGCATCACACCAGTAGAAAAGGCTCGGTTCGAACGCGGACCGCGGGTACAGCTCATTGCAGCATATACACAGAGAGGCATCAAGCTATGCCGCTTCTTCAGCGGATCCATGGACAGACTTCTTTTCGAGGATTTTATTGAGCAATTGCTTTGCCACTGCAGCAGATGGCCCGAACCGGAGACTGTGCTTATCATGGATAACGTTGGATTTCACTACTCAGAAAGGGTACAGCAGATGGCGGCAGAGGCTGGCGTTCTATTAGACTTTACCCCGCCATACACCCCGCGCACTGATCCAATCGAAGAGTTCTTCGGAGAAGTCAAGACACACATGAAAGCACAACGCAAGAATTATCCGAACTTGATCCGGAGAGATTTTGAAATCTACACGAAGTCTTGCGTCAGGGCGGTGGGTTGCCGACGCGAAAGTGCTGAGGGCCATTTTCGCAACGCCGGGTATCACGTGGAACATCCTCCGGAGTAGTCTCTATCATCACTCAAATCTTCGAAGCTTCACTCTGTGTTGATTGCGTCTACCCAAATCATAATCTTGTGCACAAACTGCTCCGCTATCCCTGGCATGATTCCGTTCTCTTTGAATATCCCAGCACCGATGGTCTTGTTGTTGTGCAGCCATTCCAAATCATAGCCCAGCTTCAGCGCTGTTGCAGCAGTGGCCTGATAGGCCTCCTTCCAATCATCGTTAGTGGTCTTTTCACTTAGCCAATCGCTGAACGATTGGATGGCCTCATTTGGGGGCATGGGCAGGTTTAGGCGATATGGCGGGACGTCGGCATTGCCATCCCGGCAGTTGGTGCTGCAAGGATCAAGTTCCACTGCAGTAGCTCTCCGCTTCTTGCGTTGCATTGCTTCTTCAGCCCGTGCGATGGCCTGCTCGCGAATTCTATAGGGCACATCCGCATGCGTCTTCAGCGCCATGCCTTCTACAGCGTGATCGATGAGCTGGTCTAGAATCTTGTCGTCCAGCTTATAATGTTTTCCGTTCTGAATCCAACAATAAAACCCGACGTTTGTACACGAGGAGCTGGTGCAAGAGAAGAGCTGATACACTTCTTGCCAGACGGCACCTGCGCCCGTACCGGCTGCCTGTTGCCCTGCAACAAGTTTATTCAATGCAGCGGTGTGCTTTTTCGTGGCACCGCGGCCTACCTTCTCGGTCACGACCTTGAGGCACTCATAGATTGCAAGGAATTCAATTCTGAGCTTGTGCTTCGGGTCACTCCACGACCGAAGCTTATCCTCAATATCTGTCCAGTCGATGTCGGATCCACTAAAGGGTGGTGGTTTGAATGGGGGTTCGCCTCGTCTGGAAGTAGATACGGTGATGATCGTCTCTCGATGTTCGTATTCGGGCTCGGGCAACTTTTCGTTGGCTTTGTTGGCAAGCTTGAAGCGCAAGGTTTCCCCCCAGCAGAGATCCGGGGCAACTTTAATATTATCTATAGTTTCATCTGCAATCTTCATTAGTCTCCCCTTACGCAGTCGCATCTTGAAGTCAACGGTGTAGCAAAGCGTAGATGGGATGGGGCGGTCGACGCCTGACTCAAGCCCGGCCTCATTGCTGCCTTGTGATCTTCCTGGCACTTCCAGACGAACGCTAGGTGTGCTGAAGCCAAAGACGAGGTCATCGTGGCTGTCAAGTAGAGGGCTATCGGGATTCATAGCTGCCATGAATCCTTCAGGGGGCCAAAAAGGTGACTCGGAGAGGGAGAGAGGAAAAGCGAGAGAAGAGAGGTAAAGGGATGTGGGTGGGTGGCGGGCGCCAAACGGGGAGTGTGACCTGCGGCTCGAATAGCGGAGGCTTGAGAAAGTGGGGATAGAATGGAGCCATTACCTTGGAACATTCTAGAAGATCCCAAAATAGATACTTACAGTCAGGGAGAAATGATCAAATGCGCTGTTGAGCGCTGGCCTGGTGTTCCAATATGATATCTATTCACGAAGACTTTGTCGCTGCGCTCATGTGCTTTAGAGAGAGACGGACCCCGACAATTTATATATTCCGGACTTGTTTGGAGCCATTACAGGCGATGAGAGAATTCAGTGACCCCACAAAACAACGAGTCACATGAAATGCCTCCATTTTGTTTGCTCTTTTAATGCTGCATGCGGAAAATGCTGACGTGTGCAGGTCTTCACACTGTGTTCCACCTGCTTAGAAACCTTCCCCACAAATAAGATAGGCTGATAACGTGGAAGCTGAACCTGGTTCTTATTGTATGAAGCAAAAGCACTACAAGAAGTTTATGGCTTCTGGGCCGTCCCGGAAACTACTAGCATGCTCCATTACGGGTCTTCTGTCGTTCATCGCTTGCGTTCTTTCTCGGAACTTGCTTTATGGATCCCTGGCACATTTTCTTATTTCGCTCGTTACTCTAATACCTCTAACAAGCACTTTCCAGCACCTACTTAGAGAGCTTGTCTGGAAACTTCAAAAAGCTAATCATGAGTTCCTGAGTCTGTTACTGAATGGAGTTCTGGGGTTAGTGTTTCCCATCGTTTGTATCGCAAATATACTAAAGAGACTTCTAGAAACTCAATTGATCTCTCCTTTGCGACTATTGCAGTACTGAAGGGGAAGCCTTTAGTAGCACAAAACGCACTCGTGGGAGTGCTTCTAGGGAACCTCCTCGTTATCATGGGCATGTGCTTCATAAGCGGAGGTTTCCACCACTCGTACCAAGAATATTCCTCCACAATGGCACGTCTTAATTCTCAGATGCTCGTAGTCAGCTTAATGAGTATTATCGTTCCTACTATAGTAGGTTGGCAAGGTGAGACTGCCCTGATTAAGACTAGAAATCGCACATCTAGGAAACTAGCTGACACTCAATTAGATAATATACGAGAGCCTGCTAACATATCTCACGCTGTAGCCTGGGTCCTGATTGCACAGTTCGTCCTATACATCTTGTGGTCCTTCCAAGTACACAAAACTTCCAGTGTCCCTGTCTCTGATACTTTTCAAGAAGCAGTGATGTTCCCGGCCCATGTGCTGTTAGCTATTGGGAGCTCTTCCCTCCCGATCAAGTACGAGGGCCTGGGACAGTGGCGTAATCAACAGAAGGAGAAAAACGCGCATATGTCTCGTTTGCCATATTCAGTTTCTATCGCTGGAATAGTTCTGAGCTATTCCGCAGCCGTCGCGTCGTCCTATTTTCTTATAGAGGGTTTAGCCGCTCGTGAGCTACAAACGATCTCTATCGATTTCCTTGAGTTGATTGTCATACCACTGGCGCTGGGAATCATCGACCAGGTAACGATCATCACTAAGACAAAGAATCAGGATATTAGCTGGCTTATCGATACGGCAGTGGTATCAAGCATTAGGGTTTCGCTCTTCGCGTTCCCCATTGCGGTACTTACCGGCGTTCTGATTTCATCGACCTCCGTGCTAGCCTTTGATACTTTCCAAGCAATCATGCTTGCCATTGCGGTCTTACTAGTCAACTACGTGTTGCACTCTGGCAAGGCATTCTGGATCGAGGGGTCAATGCTCATATCTGCATATGTTCTAACCGCGATCGTTCTATGGCACTATCCTATTCACTAGGTGCTTGTTGTCGCGTACTTCCACAAAGATGGAGTACTCAAGATGAGAGATTGGTCTCTCAATTGTCACAGAGGCCTCTGCGCCCCAGCCGCCGATACGCTGGCACACTCGTGGCGGAAGGAGGTGGGGGGGGCAGTATCTCTTGTACAAAACGATAGGGAGTAGCATCCCAAATGGTCACATCGTACAACCACCCAGACCGCTAGGAGGTGAGATTCGCAATATATATGTATAAAGCGGCAGGCAAATAAACGATGTTCTAGTGTAAAGCACTCTCGCAGTCACTCTCAGTGCATGACATTCTAGGTGTCGCCCTGAGCAGAGATTCCACGTACTATATCCCTCGGTCAGTGATATCCTGAGGCTAGCGAAAGACTGCGACACTCAGCGGCGGTGGAAATGATCGCAAGACTAGTTCGATAACATATTGTACAATGCTGCCTTCCATGTACGAGGTCCAATGCTGAGTGCAGGTTGGCCTGCTCGTTGTAGTGGATGGGTTGCATGGGATATAGTATATAGTGATGAAAATTATCGTACATTTTTACCCGAGAAAAACGCGTTAGTAGACAGCGCAGTGAGGAAATGACGGAAGGTGGTATGTTAGGGCAGGGGCAGTCTAGTCAGGGGCCTGGTATTCCAGGACAGTACTTCATAAGCCAGAATTTCGTGATCTTTTCCATAGACACCCAGATACACACCACCAATGCAAGCAGGTTTCGCCACATCTTCAGTTTTGCAACTTGACATCCAGAACAGTGCTGCATTCGCTTGACAATGCCCTGATCAGGCAATCCCTCATATGTGCAGCGACACCCCTTGCATGCTGTCGTTGCTGGCTCCCCCATCAAAACCATCGCTATCTCTACATCTGGGAATTGCCTCACTTAGGTGTCCCGCCTAAGTGAGCCTCGCTAGTAATACCACCGAAATTGGCAGGCGATGAACTCACCTTAGTCATTGGGTGGTTGTCCTTTCCGTGACCGAAGGGAGTCTCACCTTGCCCCTGCTCAGTGTCTCATTTGGTTCAGGATTACCTGGGCATTGTTAAGTTAAGTTAACTTAGTTATAATTTTTCGAACTTGCTATAATGGAATATCCATCTTTTAGACAGTTCGACATAACGGGATGAAACAAATATACAGAAGAAAACCACGCAGTGGTCTAAGTTGAGCAATCTGGGGGATCACCGAAGACGGATCAGAGACCCTATGAAACCTATCTGGGAAATCCAGGACTGGGGTCGATCACCTCTATGGCTACTAGAACACTGCAAGGTCGGGGCTCCGGTGGGAATTACTCAGTGTCCGGACATATGCAACTGATCTACAAGCTGTGACTCAACTGTAGATAAGCATTGGAGTAGCTATACAGTAGGCCGCCAAGGGTAACGTCGGTCACCAGGATCTATTATGCGACGATTAGTCTCCCCCCTTCCCAAACCCCCTGGTGCTATGAAAGATGGTCATTTCTCATGGAGATCTTGGCGTCATCAATTGGTCATAATAAGAAGCACTGTACCTTCCATCATTGAAGCAATTTGTCATGCCTTACTTAAGGTCTTCGACTATAAGTTCGGCCTCGTTGCCCGCGAGAAAATGTACTCAATACTCATTAAGATCAGTCATGGCCCCGTCTACTGTCCAAAACATTCCAAGCTATGTCAATCAGCGCGACTCGGTGTATAATGAAAATTTTGAGGCCAAACGTTTGCGGGATGGTATGGTACGAATCACGTTTAAGTCGGATAAGACCATTCCCAAAAAGGAGTCATACATTAGAGCTATCAAGTTTTCGGATGATCGTAACGGCCTTTCCTATATTGAAGGCAAGACCCAGTATGTGCACAATAAAGACCAGCCTGGCGTGCCTATGAAATTCCCTACTCGGAGTATCTCTTTTCGACAGTACACGTCTATGAAGAAATTCAGACTGGGAAGCTTTAAGAGTCGTTCACATGGTACCTTCCTCAGACGAATCATTCGACTCCGAGGCTTAAAGGCGCAATGGAGGCGGGCTAGGCTGTGGCCACTTGCAAAATAATGAGTCCACACATAAACCACATTTTGTAGTGTATTTCTCAAAAGCATCATATTGCTGCGTGTTTTCACTCCGGGCGATGGGAACCGCTTGTTCCAGACACGCCTCAAATTTAGGCTCAATGAAGATCAGGTCAACGGGAATTCCAGATGCCAGGGTGTCGCAAGTTTGGAGAGCAACATGTTGAGGATGGGGAGGAGTACGGCAGCACATTATTGTACGCAAGAGCTAGCTGTAGCACGTAGTAGGTAGTCAAATAGATAATCAGAAGACCTCGAAAAATCGCGCATCCTACTACGAAGAAACAAAATAGAGGAAAACTGTTTATGCTATCCTTTCACGGGGAGAAATCAGTCATGCAAGTCGCGGACGTTGTGATATGTACGACGTCCGTCATCCATCATTCTACTATCGGGATCACCTGGTGGAGCTGCTGGCTTTCGGCGGGAATCGTTGTTGCGGTCACCGTTTTCACCTTTCCTTCCCTCTGCATTATCACTTTGTAAATGCTCCTGCCGGCGACGATGCCGACGATGACATCGACGTTGTTAGTCCCACTGGCGGTTGGGCTAGGTAGGAAGCCAGACGGTATGCCTGCGCCAATCCGACGAGGTTTCTGCGCGTGCAAACATGTTGCGCAGTTGGAATAATGCGGTCGCCATACGATAGGCCCTAATCGAGTAATGGTGCAATAAGCGACGTGCCCTTTATTTCACACGAAGCTCTCATAGCTCGGCCGCGACTGGGCCTGTCCAGGTTCAAGTCGCCAACTCTGACACAATTCTGGACGCAGAAAACAGGTAGGAAGGTTGTTCTATACTATGGCCTGGCTACATCGCTAAGAAGAAGCACTAGAGACTTTCGACCAGGAGGACCGATGGCTGGGCTGCGGTCTCCGCGACCTCGAACTGCCTTGCATGACGGGTCAATGCTTCCGAGGGTTACGCGGCTTTAGCGTCTACCACGTGGCCTGGCGGCCATGCCCACTTGCACATGTCTTCGTCGCACTGGACGCGGCGGCGAGGTCAGCCTAGCCTGGCAGGCACCTGTTCGAACCTCCACTTCCGAAATAACAAACTCAATGGATATCTTGTCTGCTGGCAAGCAAACAACTTCGCAACCCATGGAGTTGATTAATGCTCTAAGCTAGCATAACCTACGTGGAAGTAAGAACAACGTCGTGGTGTGCATGGTTGACACTGCATACATGTGAGACCCTGCAAATTAACTCGATTACGGGGTGAAATCAGACAGGAGTTAGGTCTGGGATCATTAACTACGCATGCTACGAAGCGTCTCTAGGTAGACTAAGACGGTTGGCTTCCTTCTTGCCCGACAAGTTGGCGAACCTGCGAGATCTCATCTACCGATCGTCTGGTCCACAGACCTTTACGGCCTTGTCGTCTATGCCTCCAGCAAAACTCCGCAAACAGATGCGAGAGTTTCCTGGTTTAGTGGATTTGCTGGCCACAAACAAGGCAATCCAGAGGCTCTGTCCACTCCTTGAGTCCACCGGTCACTTCTTCCCGCAGATCAGTAATCTCGACAACTGGCGGACTGACGTTATCTCTAATGATGGCGGAGAAATAACCGTCGTATGATTTCGCCTTCTGGGCATCCGGCTTGCGGCCGCGGCCTCTCTTTCTCGGTTCTGGCGCCTGACCCGTGCTCTCCGCCTGGATAATGGGAAGCACTTTTGCGACATCAGCCATCTCGGCGGTGTTTGGCTCCCCGGGCTTCACATCAACAGAGGGTTCGGCCGTTGGTACTGCTCCGAACTCGCTGGGTGACGGGCACACGCGGCCAGTCTCATTATCTTGCTCGTCCTTGACGGGCGCCGGCTGGTGAGGTTTGTCGGTTCCGAGGCGGGCGAAAGTGCGCAGTAGAGCTTTGTGGACCAGGCAATCGTCGTGCAGCCACTTGCGGCACTTCCCGTTAGTGCAGCAAATGAGCTTCTTGTCGGGGTTTTCAGGACAGTTACAGTAGCACCGTCCTTCAGCGGACTAATTCCAATATACGAGTTAGCATAGTCTCGACGGCACGGATAATTCCCAGAGTCCAGGGCGAAATGTGGATGGCATACCGAGAGGTCCATGGTTCGCACGTCAAAGGCTTGGCGCCAGTACAGAGCTGGTTGTACTTCATCTTCATTTGTCTCATCCCACTGATGAACAGTTGCGCTCGCCGTGACAGCGACCACGTTGATGACGTCCACTAACGAAGGCGATGTCAGTAGTCCATTCACGTACCCCATTTGTGCACGCGGGATGACTGAACTGTGATTAGAGGCGATGAGCTCGTTATTGCCATGATACGGCTGTCTGCCCTTGATGGCCCGCTTTCCATCTGTCGTGCCTGCCGGCAGCTCGTCAGGCCAGTACATCCAGTAGACGCGCGCATACACGTGATGCTCGTCCGCGGCGCGAATTTCGAGAATCCTTGCGACCCAGTCGTCATCCGACTTCTTTCTAGGTTGGCGGGACTCGCCGGGGTTCTTCTGGCGCTCAATACTGTTGTCATTTGCGACGAAGACGAAGCCTTCGCTGTGGTACTTGACACCATTTACTACGCATCACTATGTCAGTATGGAGGCACGCATTGCTGAAAGACGATGTACTGTAGCAGACATCATTGGGCAGATGGAGACAAAGACGGGTGGTGTGGGGGCAGGTACAAACGAAGCTGTTATATCTGGCCATTTCCATCCACTCGGCAAACGGAGGACCTGGTAGTGGCGGTCCATGGTGTTATCCTTGGCATTGAACTTGCCGATTGGAGAGAATGGCGAGACCTGGAGATGGATTTTCGGCGGAGGCGCGGGCCGATCCTCTGAGCCGCCACAGCCGTGCTTTGTATTCTTCTTCTCATTGGGATCCGGATGTATGACAGTGAAGGGGCACTCGGCTATGTTGTCGGTGGAATCTTCCTGCCGAGGCCGCTTGCGAGTGGTGGCCATTGCT